CTAAATTTTTGTCAACTTTCATAAACAATGTTACTGGTCCACAGCCAGACTGTAACATAAATTTGGCTAACTGGAATTATAACAAAAGGTCATGACTGCTGACATCACACCCCTTCCACAAATAAGTACAATAGATAACGGTGATCAGGACACACTGGCAACAGGCAAGAGTCAAACTTGAGGTCTAATATGTTGTTGCATGCTCCTTGATTAAGAATCCACTCTTTCTCTGCATTTGAAAGATTGGTCAGGTGAGGTGAATAGTGGAGATAGAGGGCAAGGTGAGGATTTCACGCACAAAGATATGATGAATAATGTTTTAGGGAGATTGGGGAGACCAAATCAGGGTTAACCCTAACACTATCACAGGGATCTGGGGAGTGAGGTATGTTTGCAAGGAGATGACGGTGATACCGATGGTGGTGTTAGGGTTGGGGATGTGTTGGAGGTGCAGTGGTGGGGAAAAGCAGACAGGTGCAGAGAAAAAAAATCTCAAATCTGACTTAAATGGGGAATGCCTATTTTTAACTGAATTCTTCAGACGCCAACTACGCTCAATGTCCTATGCACACTCATCTTGTTGTGCTATCCCATGGAGCTAATGATCCACATGCAGATAAACGTAATGAAGAACAAATGCATGAAATGCAAGCAACTTAAAAGTTAAAGCCAATAGCTAAAATGTATGTGAAACATGATCATCAATAAGCAGAGGGCAAAGTTTTAAGGTAATTAGAAGGGGGAGGGTTAAAGGGGATTTGAAGAAAACTTTTTTCACTGAGCGAGCTGAAGGGATTCTGGAACTCCCTGCCTTAAAGGATGGTAGAAGCAGAAACTCTCAAGTGTTTCATGAACTATTTAAACGACCACTTAAAATGCCACAGCATTAAAGGCTACGGCCAAATGCTGGAAAGTGGGATTAAAATACATGGATGTTTATGACCGGCGGGAACATGATGTACCAAAGGTCCTCTTTCAGTCCTGTAAAAACTCGGTGACATTTGAAAATCAACAAGCCCTTATGATATCCAACCATTTGCTGCGATTAACACAAAAAAAGGATCAATAATCACTGCTAAACAGGGCTCACCAATCATCACATGAAACATCATTTGTAAGCAATGAATTATATTCCGATATTGACATCTCAGATGAGGAGTCTGAGTTAAGGGAGGCCACACCTGATTTCAGACAAAATCCTTCTCATTTGAGAAAATGTCCACCATACTCAAGTGATTATGTTCATTACTGAAAAGTTCACTGAGTAACAAGTCTTTTACTTCATTGTATATGTCTGAGTGCATTAAAATAAATACATAAGTTTAAGTATGTGTATTACTGGTGAAGGTGAATGTTCACATTAACTATATTGCTTATACATTTAGAAGACAGCCATTGAAACACGTTGCGCCTCTCATTTACTAAGAACAGGAGGGACACAGTATATTGAAAACTGCATTGTGCATTTTGTCAATTTAAGGCTATCATATCCATGTACCAGCAAGAATCCAGAAAAGAATAATGGAATCCATGTTTTAACACATGTAGTTCTGATTGTGAATACTTCTTACTGAATCTTATTGTTCCTTCCTAAAAACTTGGCAGGTGCTTTCATATTTTAAACACAAGTCTCAACCAATCTATGATACCACTGATCCTCGGTTTGCTATTATTTTGTCATAACTTTCCATTAATCAGTACCTCATACAATTTAGTTCTATTTTTTTTTAAACTCAGAATTTATGTTCAGAGGCACAAAAAATGTCTGCCTGCACTGTAGCCTCATAAGCTGCTCAGCATGATCATCTGTCAGCAAAAAGGTTTTCATTTAACATGAAAGTATGCATCAGAGACTTATGCCAATAACTACATTTATTGCCTGTGATTTAATTGTTTTGAAGTCCGAGTCAATCAAAATGCAGTCGTATTTTTCAAAACAAGTGACATCCCAATAGCAATATTGAGCCAAGTAAATGACTTATGCTAGTATATGAGAAATGAGTAGATATATTTTTTAAAAGTACAATTAGATAGACATTGAAATAAAAACAAATATGCTGATTCAATTTAAGTTTCAAAATAATATTTTGTGGACACTGCTAACTTTGTAATTTAGGGTCAAAATCAAATCATTTCTGCCCTTAAACAAATCTGATCATCCCACAGCATGAAATGCAGCTAAAAACATTCTGTCAATGACTTAATTATTTTCACAAATCATTCACACACAATTTTGTAACCCATTCTTGAATGAGTATCTGAAGTTTATAGTAAATGTTTATAGTAAATGTTATAGAAACTTCTGTTTCTGAATGAGAAATGAAATCGGTGCAGCAGCACTTCATTGAATCAACTAAATAGAATACTATCAAATGAAAAAAAACTAATAAATTCATCGCACTGATTTTGTTACATCACGGTATATTCCCCTTGTGACCAAACTTGTCATGTCTATACAAGTTCTTTACAAAACTTAGCCTGTTGCCTTGTCCTTTCCCATTTCCCTAGCATTTTTTCTTTTAAGATGTGTTGTGTTATGTCTCACAGCATACCTTTGAGAGATAAAATGATATATCATGACACCATCACTGCATCATTGCATGTAATATCTCCATCTTAACTTGCGCCACTTGAAGGATGACACTAATATAAAGGTGCAGTTGGTTTTAACCAAATAGCTTAGTATAACCAAAACAATGAAGTGCCTATGACTGCAATATTTGTATATACCGGCAGCTGTAATAAACATCCATTAAATCATTCACTATTACATATCACATCTAGTTTTATGTTACCAGAAATTAAAAAGAAAAGAATCGCCTCATCAGGTACAAATACCCCATTAGATGCAAAAGCCCTCAAAACAATGGCAGATGAATATGTTTATCCGATTCCTTTTTGAAAGCACAATTGAATCTGCTTCCATCACACTTTCAAGTAGTGGAAGATACCATTCTCTCACTGCATACATAAGTTTTTTCCAAATTCACTACTCATTCAATTATCACTATTGTCAATATTAAGAAGAAGGTGGTGTTGGGTGTCTTGAAATAAGTCCCCAGGGCCTGATGGGATCTATCTCAGGAGGCAAGGGAGGAGATTTGACAGAAATTTTTGTATCCTGAGTTTGGCAGCAAAAGATTTTGCCCCACGATGGTGGAACAAAGAAAACAAGATGCACATACAGCCAGGATTGGATGTGAGTGGAAATTTTGGGGGTTTTAAGTTTAAAGGCAATTGAAGGAAGGAAGGAGGATGAAGGCCACAGAGAGATTTGAACACAAGCAAACAGAACTTGAGAAACCAGGTCCAGCAGTATCTGTGGAGAGAAATAATTCTGAAGAAGTCATGCCAGACTTGAAACATTAACTCTATTTCTCTTCACAGATGCTGTCAGACCTGCCGAGTTTCTCCAGTGTTGCGTTTGTTTCAGGTTTTCAGCATCCCGGATAGTTTGCTTTTTATTAAAAAAAAAAACAGGTGTTGTTTAAATGAAATTGAATGCAAAACCAACAACATAGGACTTGCTGCTGAGTTAGAATTTGGGGAACAGAGTTTTGGATGAGCTCATGTTTACAGAAGGTAGAAAGGGGAATGTTGGATACAATATTTTTAATTAGAATGTCTTGATAAGGAATTCAGTGACAAATTTATTTTGGACAGCAAAATTCAACTGTCATCTAGACAGTATTGCTTCAGTTATTTCAACCATGTTCAAAGCTTAAGGAAACCTAGATAATTTTACAAAAACACATATAACACAAACTTTTGGAATACTTGTGCGCAATTCTCGTCACCCTGTTATAGGAAGGATGCTGTGAAACTTGAAAGGGTTCAGAAAAGATCTACAAGGATGTTGCCATGGTTGGAGGATTTAAGCTATAGGGAGAGGCTGAATAGGCTGGGACTATATTCCCTGGAGCATTGAAAGCTGGGGAATGGCTTTATCGACGTTTATAAAATTACGAGGGGCATGGATAGGGTAAACAGAAAAGGTCTTTTCAGGGAGGGGGTCAAAAATTAAAGGGCATAGGTTTAAGGTGAAAGAGGAAAGATTTAAAAGGGACCTATGGGGCAACTTTTTCACGCAGATGGTGGTGCGTGTATGGAATGAGGTGCCAAAAGAAGTGATGGAAGCTGGTACAAATACGACGTTTAAAAGGCATCTGGATGGGTATATGAATAGGAAGGGTTTAGAGGAATACGGGCCAAATGCTGGCAAATTGGACTAGATGTATCAATGATATCTGGTCGGCATGGACGAGTTGGACTGAAGCGTCTGTTTCCATTGCTGTACTTCTCTATGACTTGACAACTGCGAACGAGGAGCAACGACCTTGTATCGTTACTTTAGGTAATAACAAAACAAATCAAATACCAAAATAAATAGTCACCTCCGCAGTTGAAAAATAATCCAGCTTTACTTGTAATTAATAAGAGTACGTTCACTATCTGTCCATGCATAGGTTTGAATTGGAACGTGAAGATTATCGCAGCAACAGCCCAAACGTCGCCGTACTGCTACTCAAATAAAAGGAAAATACTGCGGATGCTGGAAATCTGAAACAAACACAGACAATGAAGAACAGTCATACCGGACTCTAAATATTAACTCCGTTTATCGCTCCACAAACGCTGCGAGACCTGCTGAGTTTCTATCATCATTCTGTGTTTGTGCCGCAAGTGAAGTTCACGCTCAGTGAAGTGAAACGACACCAATCCCTGCAGTGCCTCGTTAATGCTGTGCAATAAACTGGCACAGAAGGAAGTGGAAATAACGCAGCAGAAATACTTTAAATTTATAATCTTGACTTACAAAAGATGCTGTGGCCTTACCCTGGATTCCCGTCGCTCCAGTTAACCAACCTGTTTACAAACGTGTCACCCGGAGACGTACAGATAACGTCACTGCGGGACGCCGGATAACACGTGACCAGGCTGTACTACCCCTGGGCCCGGGGGGGGGAAATAATGTTGTGTTGGAGATGTTAATGATCAGTACTAATGACAAACCTCATGGAACGTACAATTGCCTCAAATCAGTAGCACTTACTAGATTTAGCTGCAGCTTAAGAGTGTATTCCGTTTTATTTTCTAATTGTTGTGTAAGTGTCTTGGTTATCAATGTGTAGAGTAGTCGAGACGATGGGAATGGTCGGCGGTTTGGCTCGGGACAGCCAGTTTTAATCTGCGCGCGAGAGTTGGCGCAACGTGACGTTTCTGAGCGCGTTCTCCCAGTGTCAGCCGTTCATTCACTCACTCACTCACTCCTAATGATCGCCGCCAATAGTGTGCTTTACATGGGTTTGAGAAGTTTAGGGAACCGGTCTTCGGTGTGAACGTGAGGACGGCTCGTACGTGTTGTTTATAAACTTAGAGGTAATGGTGCCCAGAGTTTTGTAGATTTCTATCTGCAAATATTCAGTTAACATTGAATTTGGTTTCTTTTAAATTGTGTACAGTTTAAGACAAGGGGAGTATGCTTCCTTACTCCTCCAAATTCCTTGGTCACGGGTTCCATCCATTTCCTTAACAAGTGTGGAAAATTTAGCGAGATTGTTTGTAAGCTTGGTGCAGTACTTGACTCTGTGATGAGCTTCTGAACGCACTTATGCCCTAATTAACACTGTCTTTTCCTACTTTGAGCCCATCGCTCGACTGCCGCTGGCACTGTTGGTCTGAAGCGGTCATCTGTACTTTTCTCATCACTTGACCCGACTGAAAGATCGGGAAAGCACGAAGTGACCAACGATCCCTCAAGCTTTTTCGCCTGTCAGTATGATCAGTCCTGATCACCTACTTCATTCTTCCTGCCTGCCATCCTTGGTTCCCCAGCAGAGCAAAATTGGATGCCAGCCTTAAGTGAACTCTGATTTTAAAAAAAATCCATAACCCTTAGAAATACGTGGTTTCAAAACTTTCCAGTCCTCTCAGTAAAGTTAGGATAAAGTGAAGTGTCGCACTTTGGTAAGACAACCCAGGACAGAACTTGCACAGCCATTGGTAGGGCCACGGGGGAATGTTGTTGAACAGAGACTTAGGGGTGCAAGTACACAGTTCATTGAAAGGGGCGTCTCAGGCAGACAGGATGCTGACGAAAGTGAGACAACAAGGTGCAGGGCTCGATGAACACAGCAGGCCAAGCAGCATCATAGGAGCAGAAAGGCTGACGTTTCGGGCCTAGACCCTTCATCAGAAAAGGGGGAGGGGAAGGGGGTTCTGAAATAAATAGGGAGAGAGTGGGAGGCGGATATAAGATGGATGGTGGAGAGGAAACAAACAGGTCGAAGAGGCGGGGAAGGGGCCAGTAAAGGTGAGTGTAGGTGGGGAGTTAGGGAGGGAATAGGTCAGTCAAGGGGGCGGGATGAGGTTAGTCGGTAGGAGATGGGGGTGCAGCTTGAGGTGGGTGGAAGAACAGGTTAGGGAGGCAGGGACGAGCTGGACTGGTTTTGGGATGCGGTAGGGGGAGGGGAGATTTTGAAACTTGTGAAATCCACATTGATACCATTGGGCTGCAGGGTTCCCAAGCGGAATATGAGTTGCTGTTCCTGCAACCTTCGGGTGGCATCGTTGTGGCACTGCAGGAGGCCCAGGATGGACATGTCGTCTGAGGAATGGGAGGGGGAGTTGAAATGGTTCGCGACTGGGAGGTGCAGTTGTTTATTGCGAACCGAGCATAGGTGTTCTGCAAAGCGGTCCCCGAGCCTCCGCTTGGTTTCCCCGATTTAGAGGAAGCCACACCGGGTACAGCGGATGCAGTATACCACATTGGCAGATGTGCAGGTGAACATCTGCTTGATGTGGAAAGTCTTCTTGGGGCCTGGGATGGGAGTGAGGGAGGAGGTATGGGGGCAGGTGTAGCACTTCCTGCGGTTGCAGGGAAAAGTGCCGGGTGTGGTGGAGCTGGAGGGGAGTGTGGAGCGGACAAGGGAGTCACGGAGAGAGTGGTCCCTCTGGAAAGCAGATAAGGGTGGGGAGGGAAAGATGTCTTTGGTGGTGGGGTCGGATTGCAGATGGCGGAAGTGTCGGAGGATGATGCGTTGGATCCGGAGGTTGGTGGGGTGGTACGTGAGGACGAGGGTGATTTTTTTTTGGTTCTTATTGCGTGGACGGGGTGTGAGGGATGAGTTGCGGGAAATGTGGGAGACACGGTTGAGGGCGTTCTCGACCGCTGAGGGGGGGAAGTTACAGTCCTTGAAAAACAAGGACAACTGAGATGTACGGGAGTGCCCATATCGGGCAACCACCTAGAAACCGATATTCATTTCAAGCCCACCAACTCCCACAGCTACCTAGAATACTCCTCCTCCCACCCACCTTCCTGCAAAAATGCTATCCCCAATTCCCAATTCCTTCGCCTCCGCCGCATCTGCTCCCAGGATGAGGCATTCCACTCCCGTACATCTCAGTTGTCCTCGTTTTTCAAGGACTGTAACATCCCCCCCTCAGTGGTCGAGAACGCCCTCAACCGTGTCTCCCACATCTCCCGCAACTCATCCCTCACACCCCGTCCACGCAATAAGAACCAAAAAAGAATCCCCCTCGTCCTCACGTACCACCCCACCAACCTCCGGATCCAACGCATCATCCTCTGACACTTCCGCCATCTGCAATCCGACCCCACCACCAAAGACATCTTTCCCTCCCCACCCTTATCTGCTTTCCGGAGGGACCACTCTCTCCGTGACTCCCTTGTCCGCTCCACACTCCCCTCCAGCCCCACCACACCCGGCACTTTTCCCTGCAACCGCAGGAAGTGCTACACCTGCCCCCATACCTACTCCCTCATCCCCATCCCAGGCCCCAAGAAGACCTTCCACATCAAGCAGATGTTCACCTGCACAACACCACTGTACCCGGTGCGGCTTCCTCTACATCGGGGAAACCAAGCGGAGGCTCGGGGACCGCTTTGCAGAACACCTACGCTCGGTTCGCAATAAACAACTGCACCTCCCAGTCGTGAACCATTTCAACTCCCCCTCCCATTCCTCAGACGACATGTCCATCCTTGGCCTCCTGCAGTGCCACAACGATGCCACCCGAAGGTTGCAGGAACAGCAACTCATATTCCGCTTGGGAACCCTGCAGCCCAATGGTATCAATGTGGATTTCACAAGTTTCAAAATCTCCCCTCCCCCTACCGCATCCCAAAACCAGGCCAGCTCGTCCCCGGCTCCCTAACCTGTTCTTCCTCCCACCAATCCCCTCCTCCCACCTCAAGCCGCACCCCCATCTCCTACCGACTAACCTCATCCCGCCCCCTTGACCTGTCCGTCCTCCCTGGACTGACCTATCCCCTCCCTAACTCCCCACCTACACTCACCTTTACTGGCCCCATCCCCGCCTCTTCGACCTGTTTGTTTCCTCTCCACCTATCCTCTCCTCTATCCATCTTCTATCCGCCTCCCACTCTCTCCCTATTTATTTCAGAACCCCCTTCCCCTCCCCCTTTTCTGATGAAGGGTCTAGGCCCGAACCGTCAGCCTTTCTGCTCCTATGATGCTGCTTGGCCTGCTGTGTTCATCCAGCCCTGCACCTTGTTGTCTCGGATTCTCCAGCATCTGCAGTTCCTACTATGCTGACGAAAGTGTTTGGTATGCTTGCCTTCATCCGTCCGGGCGTTAACTACAGGAGTTGGGACATTATGTTACATTGGTAGGGGCACGTTTGGAGTACTACTTACGATTCTAGTTGCTTTGCGATAGGAAGGGTGTTATTAAACAGGAAAGGGTGCGAAAACGATTTACAGGGATGTTACCAAGAGTGGAGGGTTTGAGTTAAGGAGAGGCTGATAGGCTGGGACATCTTTCCTTGGAGCAGAGGAGGCTGAGAGAGAGAATTATAAAATCATGAGGAGCATAGACTAGTTGAATCGCCAAAGTCTCTTCCCCAAGGTAGAGGAGTCCAAAACTAGAATGCATAGTTCTGAAGTGAGAGGGGAAAGATTTAAAAGGGACCCGAAGGTCAATGAGCTGTCAGAGGAAGTGGTTGAGGCGAGTACAATTACAATATTTAAGAGAAATTTGGACAAGTACATGGATAGCAAAGGTTTTGAGACCTTTGAGACAACTGCAGGCAAATGGGGCTAGTTAAGTTTGGGGAAACCTGGTCGACGTGGATGAGTTGGGCTGAAGGATCTATTTCTGAACTGTATGACTCTTCTGTTAGACTTTTTTTTTATAGAATCCCTACAGTGTGGAAACAGGCCCTTCGGCCCAACAAGTCCACACCGAGCCTCAGAGCATCCCACATTTCTGAAATCTTCACCTCAGTCCTAAATGATTGAGCTCCCTTCTGATACTATGCCTCTTTCTATATTCTTCTGCCAGAAGCAATAATTATTGATGTTTATCCTGTTCATTTTGGAATCTTGAATGTTTTTCAGTAAGATTACTTCATATTCTCTACATACTAGAAGTACAGTCTGAATTTCAAAGAATCTCTATAGTGGGGGAGCAGATCATTCAGCCCATCACACTCACGTGAACCCTCTGAAGAGCATCCCACCTTGACCCACCCCCTACCCTATCCCTGCATTTCCCACCCTGGACACTGTGGGCAATTTAGCATGACCAATCCACCTAGCCTGCACATCTTTGGCTTGGGAGAGGAAACCGGAACACCTGGAAGAAAACCACACCAACACAGGGAGAATGTGCAAACTCCACACTGACAGTCGTCTGAGGCTGGAATCGAACCCGGGTCCCTGGTGCTGTGAGGTGGCAGTGCTGATCACTGAGCCACTACCCAATTTAGTCAGCTTTTCATCATAGAATGATTCACTTCGTCCATGCGTTAAACAAAGATGAAGGTAAAAACTCCATAGCCTTGTTGGGGCATGGAGCTGCTGTCTCATTGAGAGAGATGCCTGGTGATTGTTTAAAGTCAGAAGTCACAAGACACCAGGTTGTACTCCAACAAGTTTATTTGGAGTCACACAAGCTTTGAGTGCAGCCCCTTCGTCAGGTGCAGTGAGAGAGCAGGGCACGCAGACAGAGAGATGAAGGGCAGCAAGATCAAAAGATCATACAACTGGTGTGAGTGGAGTGTCAGATGATATGTCTCTGCTGGTGACCAAGAATGTTATACAGTGTGTAAAATGTTAATAAAGTCAGTGTCAGAACTGTGCTGTCATGACAACCAGACAGATCCATAGGAATGTACAAAAGCTGACATCTCAGGTCAGACACTGAGTTGTGGGTCTGAGACTTTGTTCAGAATCTGTCTGAGTTTTAACCTGGAATCAGGTTGGTTTTATTCTGAAAGCTGGAATTTATAAGATGCCACACTGTGAGTACAATTTTTTTTGAGCAAAATAGAATGTATGTGGAGATAAGCAAACATCTTGAATGAAATGATTCTGTCCCATAGATTTATATTTGTCTGTGTGTGCATATGTGTAGAGAGAGTGTGTCTGTGTGCCTTGCTGTCTCACTGCACATGATGAAGGGACTGTGCTCTGAAAGCTTGTGTGATTCCAAATAAACCTGTTGGACTGTAACCTGGTGTCATGTGACTTCTGACTTTGCCCACACTAGTCCAACCTCCACATCATGGTGAGCTTTAACCTGAGGATCACCAACCTCTGGTTAGGGGAGAGGTTGAGAAGGAGAACCCTTCATGATGACCTCAGCCACACTGTTGGCAACTGCATCACAAACTAGCTATCCAACCAACTGAGGTAACTGTCCCCTGACTGAACAAATAACCTTTAATATCATCCTGGCACCAATATAAGCATTTTCTTCCTTTAAATATTTCTAGACACAAAGCTGTTGAATCACCAAGGCAATTATATCGAGACTTTATTCCAATCTCCTTGCAGTAACAGCCAGTGTGCAATTTATCTTTTCATATTTGTTCATGGGTTGCGGGCATTGCTGGTTGGGTCAACATTTACTGTCCATCCCTAATTGCCCAGAGGGCTGTTAAGAATCAACCACATTACTGTAGTCTGGAGTCACATGCAGGCCAGATCAGTAAGGATGGCATTAGTGAGCTAGATGGGTTTACCTGACAATTGGCCATGGTTTCATGATCATCATTAGAATCTTAATTCCAGATTTTTATTGAATTCAAATTCCACCTCTGCCATGGCAGGATTTGAACTCAGCTCCCCAGAACAATGCCTTTATCTCAGGATTAGTTGTCCAGCAATAATACCATTAGTTCAGTCGCCATCCACTTGGTACTTCTGGCCTGCGACTGATGAAAATGCTTCCTGCCATATATCCCCAACATTTTTGAAGATGGGGATATTTGTGGAACCTCTACCTGTCCATCGTTTTAATTATCCACCACTATTCACAACTGAATGCGGCAGGACTGTAGAGCTTGAAGCTGATCCCTAGCTCAGAAACTGCTCCCAAAAGTTTCCAATCTGTGCAAAACCGGAGTGGTCAGATTATCCGTACATTTGAATTTTTTAATGATGTTCTTCCCCTTCCAGACACATTTGACATTTGCTTGTCTCCTACTAGTTATATTTTTGTTGCACAGATGGCTGGACTAGCGCAGAATCCTATAATACAGTTAACTGGTTTCAAACATTCCGAGAAAAGGGCCCTTGTCAAATTGCTTACTGAACTCGACTGCATTTACTTTGGTGAGCAGGTAAGTCCTAAGTGATTAGAGAAAATGGTATTGGAAATGTGCGTTTTTAGCTAATTTAGTTTTGTTTTCATCAATAAATATTTTTTGTTCTTTCTCTCTCATGCTCTTAGTTTCAATTATCTCAAAATAGTTTTATACACGCCATCCATGTTGAACCTTCAATATATGAAAGTCAAGATAATGCAAATCACTTCGTCCTTGTGTTTCAAAAATCTTCAGATCTAATGAATTTCTTTTCTAGATTTTAAACAATTTGTACACAATGGAATTCCACAAAAAACAAATTAAATTATTAATTAATTTTTCTTAATGCTCATTGAGGAAAGTTGAGGGCAACAATTGGTAAATCTCCTCTTTGAATGGTGCACAGAACCTTTCTACATTGAACCAAGACCCTGCTATTGATTACGTCAATGACTCATACCAATATGATGCCTGGACTAAGGGCTAAATTATGTGGGAAGATTACAATTTTTCCTTAGCATTGCATGATGTGTTAACCTGGATTAAGTGCTGCCATTCTACAACAGGGAGTGAACTCTCAAATTTCTAGCGATTGAGTGATAGTGTAGCTAATTGAGCAGAGCAAATACTTAGAGAAGTTAGGAGAGTCAATTATAGACACAACTGGAGAGGTATGTTTTCAGATGTGATTTTGAAAGAGTTATGAATAGTGGAGCCAGATTCTTTTTCTTCTTTGGACCGTTTTATAACCTAGCTAATCAACCTGTTCAAGATGTTAGGAACTTGGGCCTCTTCATTCAAAGGTGGGGATAGAATCATTGCACCACAAGAGCCATCTTTCTTTTTCTTAGGATGTGGGTGCTGCTAGCAAGTTCAATGTTTAGACAATGGGCTAAGAAGTAAGCCATTCTGCCCATCAAGTCCACTCTGCCATTCAATGAGGTCATGGCTGAGCTGATAGTCCTCACCTCCACTTTCCAATCTTATCCCCATAACCTGTGATTCACTTGCTGATTTAAAAACCTGCCTATCTTAGCCTTGAATAAATTTAATGATTCAGCCTCAATAGCCCTCTGTGCTTATTAGCTGCCCTTCTCTAAATGCTCTTGAACGGAGTGGTTTGCTAGGGTTCTTTCAGAAAGCAGTTGGGATTCAATGACATTGCTGAGGGTTTGCAGTCACATGTAGGCCAGAGCAGGTAAAGACAGCAATTTTATTCCCTAAAAGACACTGGTGAGCTGGATTTTTACATAAATTGATGATTGTTGTCATGGTCACCATTACTGAATCTAGTTTATATTCTTTTAAATTCCACTAGTTGCCAAAGTTCTAACCAGGCCCTTAGGTTAGTAGTTCACTATTGTTCCACTGTGTCTATTAATGCTGTCATTAGTGAAAGTATAAAACTATGAAAAGTGAATTTTAATTCATGAAAACACAGATTGGATAGAACAGGGTATCTTCTAAAGCTTGAAATAATGGAGGTCTAAAGAAACTTGGAGCCCGTGAACAAAGATTATTGACATTATCAGCAGATACAGAAAATATGCACAAGAATTAGTGGAACATTGGCCTTTGCATCAAGAGAACGGGCATGATGCTCGCTGTACCACATTTTAGTAAGTATACTGGTTTGGAGAGAGTACTGTGTATATTCCCCTTTATTCGTTAATGGGATGAGAGCGTCACTGACCAGGCAGCATTTATTGCCCATCCCTAATTGCCCAGAGGGCAGTTCAGAGTCAACCATGTTACTGTGGGTCTGGAGTCACATGTAGGCCAGACAGGTAAGTATGGCAGTTTCCTTCCCTAATAACATTAGTGAACTAGATGGGTTTTTTCCGACAATCAACAATGGATTCATGATCACCATTAGCTTCTTAATTCCAGATATTTTTATTGACTTTGAATTTCACCATCTGCCATGGCAGCATTCAAACCCGGTCCCCAAAAAGTTAATCGGGGTCTCTGGATTAACAGTCCAGCGATAATACCACTAGGCCATTGCCTCCCCCTAATTTATCATATTCAATATATCCATCATATTTACCAATATGATGCCTGGACTAAGGGCTAAATTATGTGGGATGATTATGTAAAACTAGGATTATATTCACAAGAATTGATTTAAGTTTATGGGGTGATTTAATTGAACTTTTCAAATCTTAAGGGCAAAAGATAATAACTATATATCTGCCTTATCTCTGCTGATTGGGAAGCCTAGGACTACAGGACATAGTCAAAAAATTACAGCCAGATCTTTCAGGAATGAAGTTCGGCAACCACACAAAGGATAACAGAAGCTGGGAACTCTCTTCTCTAAGCGGCAATTGACAATAGGTCATTTAACTTTGATTTGAAGATAAGTTAATAAAAATATACCAAAGATAATAAGGGACATGGCACAATATAGACAATAACTGCACTGCAGGAGTTTCCTGATCTACAAGTGTCCGACTTAAAATGTAATCCCATGCAGGGGCCTAATTTTAAAGATCCGACAGACAAACTTTTCCTGTATTTGTGAATGACTACTTTTATGTTATCCTGCGTTCTATTCTGACTGGCATACAAATGAACTTGCGAATGGACTCAAGAATGAAACCCTGGGACTGCCTTTATTTCATTTGCCAGTGAATATGAGGATTCAAGTTCCCGTAAGATCTCTGCCTTATCTTTGCTGCATTAAAATCCAATTCCCTGATTTATGATCCGCAACTGCTATTAGGAGGTTTATAAACAAATCACTATGTATAAAGTCAGCAGCTGATGAATTTCTTATAAGGAGGGAGATCTTGAGTTGTGCAAAATTTTTTGAGACTGTTTCATGTTATTTTGCTTATGTGATAAGCTAATCAGAAATATATCTCAATGCCAACAGCTGTACTCCACTCCAAGACCTCCAAAACATCTTGAGTAAATGCATGTGTAGCTTCTCTAGAATGCCATGGTTTCATAATTGTTTCCCTATTATTCATTTACATACTACCATTGTCAATACAATTCATAAGATATCATCGCATGTATGGTCATATTGTCTTGATTTCTACAAATGTCACTCGCAATCTAATTACCTGCCCGACAGCATGGGTGTAAACCCATTTACCCATCAAAATGTTCTATTATTTCGTGAAATTATGGCTTATTTGCAAGTTAACTATCATTCATGAGATGTGTCTGTCAATGATAGAATTAGCAAATGCTGATGTCACCTCTAGTTGCCCTTGTGACTACTAGGCTATTGCAGACAGTAGTTAAAAGTCAACTACGTTGTTGTGGACCGGAGTCACATATAGGCCAGACCAGATAAAGACAGCAGATTACATTCTCTGAAGGATATTAATTAGCATATTAATTAACCATATGTGTGTTTTGAACAGTTGATGGTATTTGTCACGGTCATGATTTACAATGGGTTTTTTTCATTAATTAATTTTAAATTCCACCAGCTACTACGGTGGACTTTGAACCCATGTTACCGGAGCACTGGGCCTCTGAATTAGGAGTGTAGTGACATTACCACTTTGCCACCAATACGCTGTAAGGCTACCACATACCTGCCTTTGACCCACATACTTTTAATACCTTCTATTAACAGAAATTTACCCAATGTCTAATTTTAGATTGAGTTCCTCAAGCATTGTTTTTCCAACTTCTTCAATCCTTTGCACGTAGAAGTATTTCTCAACATCATTCCTGAAAGATCTGGCTCTAATTTTTGGATTATGCTCCATTCTGAAAAAAGATAACTGCATTCTAGATCTGCATGTCAAGAAACCAACTGGGGAATAGGCTATTTTAGACATGGGAGTATGCAAAGTAATAGGATTAATTAACCTGTACTAAAGGAACATCATGGAAAAGTGGTAACAATATGAATTTTGCATTAAGCTTGTTTGTGAATCATTAAAGTTCAAATGTTTCCATTAAGTATTCTCTTCATGGTATGATATTCTGTAACTTAAAAAAAAAATTGTGTTTTTTTTGTGTTCAGAAGGGCATATTCTGATACCATTCAAATAAAACTCTCACCTATACTAACCTTTTAGTATGATTTTATGAGAATGCTCATTTGGCCTATATTCATTCAGCCCATTGCACGTTTAAATTTGGACAAGTCTCAGAATATTTACTTTTTTGCCCTGACTGATCTGATTTCCTTGTCAAATGTTAGTGTTCAAAAAGAATTCTCATTTTTGAAATGAGAAAGAAGATTATTGTTGTAGCTACTTACTGATTTTTAGCTTCATAGCAAAATGTTTGACTTTTAGTACAGTATACTTATTATTATGGCAGAAGACTTGGCCAATTCAATCTGCTGTGTGAGCAGGAAACCAAAATGGAAACATTGTTACTTAAAATAGTTAACAATTGAAGTAACTGTACTAAAGAGATTTAAATTGAGTACATTGTAGAAGTCTGACTTTAGTGATAACTGTTCATATGCATCAATATTGAAGCAGATTTTTCCACTGGCTAGACAGTCATAATTCCAGCATAGATTGGAGTTGGAGATGGAGACCCTGCAGAATGCCCACCTTAGCAAACTCTGAAGGAATTGCCTGGGAAACTGAATTTTCCACTGGACAATTCCACTGCGTCTGGAATGCTATGAAAGCCTCCATAAATTCTGGAGAATTCTGGTTACTCAAAAAATACAAGACTAGTAAATACTGGTCTAACTCCTGAGCAACCTTTTTAAACAGACTCCATACTTATCTCAGACAACCCTAACTACACCACCCCTAGACCACTTAAACTACCCAGACCCTGACTAGATGTCCCCCTTGCCCCCATCACTTCCAGTACGACCTGACATCACGTCTTCAACACCCGACATCACGTCTTCAACACCCTCCACCACCCTACCGTGGGTGTGGATATTAGATGCCCCCAACAGGTTTGTTTTCAGTTGGGGAATCGGGGAGCGTGTAAAGCAGGGAGGGTGCCCAGATTACCACCTTCCCATCCACTCCCAAGCTCATCCCAATGGAGGAAATGGGTGGGTGCCAAAGTTAGCAGCCTGCACACGTATGTAAATAATTGAGTCAATAGGACTTTAAAAAAGGTCAAATGATGCCAGTAATGCCCTGCCAGGTCATAAAATGGATTGCATTGGCAGGCAGGGAAGAGTGGGCAGTTGAAGTACAGGAAGGAGGATGGTACATCACCCCTAAAGATAGGCTCCCTTCCTTCCATTTTATAAAAAAAACTCCTCCACTCCCTCCTTGCCACTGTCCCTGAGATCAGCAAACCCTCCCCACCTAATCCGTCTTACTTGTTGGAGTCCAGGGATCCACTGGAGCCTTTAACCTAGAACTGGTTGCAATACTACCAGTGTCCACAAAGCTCTAGTAGAACCAGGACTTATGGAGTTATGGTAAATCAGATTGGCCAGCAGCTCGAGAAGATGGAACTTGCTCCCACTGAAGGGCAGAAGCCCCATTTTCTACCAATCTGTTCTGCCTGCAGAGGAGACTTGTTCAGAGCCTGTTGTTTGGAATTTAGAAGAATGAGAAACTACCTTTTTGGAACACACAAGATTCTTAAGGGACTTGACAAGGTTGTGTGAAGGTCTTAGACCAGAAAGCAGAATCTCAGAATAAGGGGTTGCAATGACAGATAAGAAGGAATTTCTTCTCTGAAGATAGTGAATCTGTCGAAATCTTTACTGCAGAGCACTGTCAAGGCTGGGTGATTGTCTATCTCAGCCTTGAATATACTTGATCATTAATCAGTAAGGAAATCAAGAGTTTTAGGGTGAAGGCAGGAAATTGGAGTTAAAGACAATCAATCAGTTCAGCCGTGACCTTACTGAATGGCAGAGCAGATTCAATGGGCTGACAGACTGACTTCTGTTTCTATATTTCGTGGTCTGTCAACTGGCTACTACCTTTGCTTACATGAGCAGGGAGGAGGCCGAACCACTGCTCCGTAGAATGCTGTCTTGCAGTGAACTGATTTGAATTAACGCTGATATTTAAACAAAATGAAAATGCTGGAAATACAGTTATGTTCCATTTTTCATGTTGACGTTGAGTAGTCAGATGCGTAAAATGAGTGTTGAGGTCCTGGAGAAACCAGTTAGTTTAGGTTAGTTCATTTTTGCCGAAACAAACCTATAGCTTTTTGTGTTCTCAGAAGAACATTTGATCATGAAACTTTTTTTTTAGTCTGTTTCTAACGTTGCTAGCACCACATCTTTTAAGAAAAGGAAAATAATGCTGTCAAAGATGAATCTGTAGAATGTGTGTTTAACTAAGCATGCCATTTATTTTCCTCTTAATCTAGGAATATAAGCAGCAGTGCACTCATATGATAGCGAGTAAACCAAGTCGCAGTGAGAAATTTTTAGCAGCTTGTGCTGCAGGTGAGTTAAGACATTCCGATTTACTTTGCTTGAATCAAAATTAACTTTTTTTACATTTGGTAAAAGACAATTTCTCACTGCAAAGTGTGTAGTCAACCAGATGTACTGTAACTGAGCATACATACTTATTTTATCCCTGGGATTACAAATTAATTATTGAAGTATGAGCTCCTACTGCAGCTGATTTCACTTTTCCAAGAGATCTGATAACATTACCGTTGCTGTGCCTTCTGCTCCTCTTGTCATTTTGGAGCTGCCCCTTGAACTTTGTGTTATTACTTCACTCAACTACTGAGTGTACTATTGGAAGAGATCAGGATTCCAGCCCTCAGCCCATTCTTCCTATTTTTTAAGCAAATTTATCGAAAGATTTTGCAACCAGTATGCATGAAGTGAACATCAGGGACAGATAGTACCTTCAACTGAAGTGGGTAGAAGGGCAGAATGACTGCTTTGTGTAGAAGAGAAAGTGTGCCTTAATAAACTGAAGGAAATAGAATCAGGAACATGTGTGGAAGCCAAAAAGTCACCAAGTTATCAGTGCCTGAATTGTAGCGGGAAGCGAATGTTTCTGAACTGAGAGGATTGCTTGGGCCAGTGTTTCCGTGAACTATATTTTAAGTACTTTCCTAAACCTTATTGACTTCCATTTTAATTACTTTTAAATTGTAGTAGGTATGAAGAGCTGTTCTCGTGTTAGTACCACGATCAAGACTTGTTTATCATTTTTTTATCTTTCCTTTTTAGGAAAGTGGGTCTTGACTCAAGATTACATCATTGACAGTGCTAAAGATGGCAGGTGGCTCAATGAAATCCAGTATGAGTGGGGATATAAAATTCCAAGTATTTCACAGTATCCAGTGCCAATGGAATCTGTGCCAAAAATGTGGCGCGAAGAGCTGGCCCGTTCAAGTAGACCAGGAGTATTTCATAACTGGAAAGTAGTCCTTCTGATCAATGATGAAGCAAGGAGAAGTACTTTCAAAAGGTACCATTCAGAAGGGGCATTAATAATTAGCAATTGCTGGCAAAACACAGGCCTGGCAGCATCAGTGGCGATAAAGCAGAGTTAACATTTTGGGTCCAGTGACCCTTCGTCAGAATAAGGGTGTTTTGACGAAGGGTCACTGAACCCAAAATGTTAACTCTGCTTTGTGCCCATAGATACTGCAGGACTTATTCGTTTTGCCAACAATTTCTGGTTTTGTTTCTGATTTCCAGCATCTGCAGTTCTTTATTTTTTATTTGTTTGGGACTATTAACAATATTTCCGTGACCTCTACTGTTTGCTTAATTATTCTGTCATCGATGATACTTGTATTCCAGGGGTTGCTGACTTATAAATCAGTAGTGGTGGTCATAGTGTTGTCGTTCTCTGACCATGTAACTAAATCTATTGCAGAGTGAAACGTTTCTTTAAGGCACTAAAAGCATCTAGAGAGGAAAATAAATACCCTCACAAAGAAAGGGGGAAAAAAAAATAGAAAATATAATGAAGAGTTCAATCAATGAGTTAGGCTTAGAAAAGGTATTGAATTGTAGTGAACAGTTAGACGGGTTTGCTGTGGAGAATTTACAGCATGCAGGCTGCAAGAATGGAAAGTTACACGAGAGACCAGTGTAAAAGGGAATGAAAACCTTTGGTGGGCTATTTGGAAGGAAACAGTTAACGAAATGGCAAAGTGACTATGTCAGCAGTTGCATGGGAATGCCACCACCAGAAAGTTCTCTCCAAGCCTCATTCCATCTTGACTTGGTATTACTGTTCCTCACTGTCCCTGAGTCAAAATCCTGAACTTGCTTCTTAACAGGTTTGTGGATGCACCAACACCACCTGGACTGCAGCAGTTCAAGAAGGTGGCCACCATCACCTTCCGAAAGACAATTGGGATGAGCAATAAATACCTAATCTCTAGCTAGCAATGTTGTCTACCATTAAAAAGTTTCTTAAACTTCTAAGGCTTAATCAATTTTAAGTATACGACAAGTGTTTAAAATTGGAGACGGTATGTTCGAGAGACATCATAGATCATAAAGAGATGGAGTGACAGATAAGGAAGTGGTATTTCATACTGCATAGGATGTAGGTACAAGAATTTTGGATATGCCAAAATTTAGGAGTTGGGGGGGCACAATGTGAGCCAGAAGCCATTGGAGTAGTCAAATCTGGAGGTGATGAAAGTAGTAAAGAAAAATTTGTTACCAAATTGACTGCAGTAGATGATATATGGAGGTGGAAATAAGGACTTGTGTTGATGAGAATATGTTAAGTGAAGCTCAATTCTGGGTTAAATAGTTGTGAACCCTGTGATTCCCCTAGTAACGGTAGTTGAACTTGTAGCAGTGGTTGGGGACAGGAGTGGAATCACCAACAAATGTGCAGAGTTTGTGAAAAGACATTTTAAGAGAATAGTTTTGGTTTTCCCCAAGTTTAATTGACAGGGTTGGGATTTATCCAAGACCAGGTGTTAAGCACTAACTTTTCCCCCCCTTTTTTTAAAATATATTTATTTGGTGTGGATGATTCTCAAAGTCAGCTTTTATTGCCCATTCCTTAAGATTTCTGTAAAAATGGTGAGCTACTGTCTTAATGCTGCTGCTCATGTGGTAAAGATATTCCTACAGAACAGTTAATAATTATAGGATTTCCACCCAATGGCTATGAAGAATGGAAATATCTTTCCAAATGCCAAGATGGTGTAGGACCAAGCCATCATCCCATGCTGAGGGGTCAGAGAGGCAATGGAATGGTAGATCTGGATGTGGTCTGTGTGGACGTGAAGGCTGACCCTATGTTAGAATGATAATGCCATAAGTCAGTATATGGATTGGGTAGGGTTTAGACAATAGATCTTTTCAGGATGGAGTGGGGGAAGACACTAGTGCTAGTAGATGAAAAGAAAGAACTGCTGAAATGCTCTTGCTACAATGGTAGGTAAGACCTGGAATCTCCCAACTAGTGCCAATGAGCTGGATAACAGGGAAGAATCTTTTGAGGAGAATGTTATAATTAAACATGTAGAAGGCTGCAGAGAGATTGAAGAGGACATAGAATGGAAATGCACCCTGGTCATAAGCTGTCATTTGCTACTATGATTAGGACCGATTTTAGTAAATTGACAGGGAGGAAACCTTAGATGTTCAAATGGAGAGAAAAGTGCGTTTAATACCTGAATACCCTAATTCCTGAGGAAAGCAGACCATTTATATTGCCAGTTAGCATTGTGGCAAGAAAAGAAAACTGGCGGTCAGCAATTTAGTGATAATAAATTTGGAGCAATTGAATCTCCTAGATCGGGCAGGCTCAGCAAAGGTGTGAGGAAGGATATTTAAAGCAAAGCGGGATGCACAGTTTCAGAACTAGGGAAAGGAAAGACCTGATTAGAGGTATGGGCTGATAAGCATGAGGAAAACAAGGAAAGAACAGAGGCAGTTCACAGCAGAGGAATGATTGTGCTACCGGTGACTAAGAAAGAGATTTATGTTGATGGCTATAAATAGGAAAAAGAAGCCTGTGTGTGTGTTTTGTTTTTTTTTTAAACTCGAGGATTACCCTAGATAGCAAAGGTGTTTGTGATTTTGTCAGAGGAGGTAAATGCTTGATGTGACCACAGTCTGATCTGGAGATGGACAATTAAACCAGTTGTATGCCTATACACTTAAATCTACACCCATTTTAAATTGGAGCAAAAATGGGACTAAATCAGATGTAGTGAAACAGTACCACTTATACTGGATCAAGGATATTAAACATGGGCATGGTTAAACGGATTGGCAGCTGTAGACTTGGTATGATAAATTGAAGATCAAAGTTGTAAGTGACTTGTGGATAATTTTTTTTGTGGCTAACTCAGAAGTGGTGGGATTGCAAGTATGGAGAGCTATGTGTGGTGAAAGGATACAAAAAAATGTTTGGAAATGGCCATATCATAATATGAGATCAGAGATGTTAGGAGACCACCTATATATGTATGCATGTATATCTCTTTATGTAATGCATCTTATTGTCAGGACCTAAGAGAGAGCTTGGAATTTCAGGCTGCTGGGTTATAGTATAGTGAAGAACAATATCTGGTTGGAGTGAGTTCAGAAGATGTTTCTCTGATGTCCACTGTTTTGAATTTACCAGTTACTGTCTTTGAGCATTAATTCCCAAAAATAAAAATTACCTTCTAATTACAATATTAAAAACCATTGCATCTCAATGATTCTCAGGTTTTTTTTAAACTGAATACAAATAGCCAAATGTGATTTAGAGATCAGTTTCTCACAAAATAGTGCACAAGGTCAGAAATTATACGACACCAGGTTATAGCCCAACAGGTTTATTAGAAAACGCATGCTTTTGGAGCCTCAGTCCTTCTTCAGGTGTTAGTGAGACAGGTACTATCAGACACAGAATTCATAAGTAAAAGATCAAAGGTTCACACCTTTGGTAATGTACTAAATAAAACTAAGATGTTAGCATAGAATCCCTACAGTGTGGAAACAGGCCATTTGGCCCAACAGGTCACACCACCCCTCAGAAAAGCATCCCACCCAGAACCATGCCCCTAACCCTGCATTTCCCATGTCTAACACACCTAACCTATACATCCCTGAACACTATGGGCAATTTAGCATGGCCAATCCACCTACCCTGCACATCTTTGGACCATGGGAAGAAACACACGCAGACACGAGGAGAATGTGCAAACTCCACACAGACAGTCACCCGAGGCTGGAATCGAACCCAGTCCCTGGCACTGTGAGACAGCAGTGCTAACCACTAAGCCACCGTGTTGCCCTAAGATGCTGTTCAATCTTTAATCATTTAGAAGGTTTTAATTGTTTAATATGTATAGGTATATCCCTGAATTCCTCTCAAGTCACAGTCCTGAGAGAACTAAAGGTTTTATCAGTGTAAAGAAGGGGTGGCATTTTAGGTCAAACAATGCATATTAGATGTGAGACCTTGCTTAGAATCTGTTTGCGTTTTAGTTTGGAGTCATTCTGGTTTTATTTCTATAGGAATTTGTAAAACACCATATTGACTGTCTGTCTATAAATTGTGTGCTTTTTGAACAAAATAAAATGTATCTGCAAATACATATTCACCCCATAGATTGTGTGTATGTGTGTGTGTTATTATGTGTTGGGGGCATGGTGTGATGGTGGTGGAGAGTGTGTGTGTGGGAGGGTGGCAGAGAGTGGGTGGATGTGTTCGGCCTTTGATCTTCGGATAAATGTTCTCCAAAGCGGACTTTGGGATACGCAACAATGCAGAGTCGCCAAGTAGAGGCTGATAGCCAAGTTCGGTACTCACGACGACAGCCTCAACTGGGATCCTGGGCTCATGTTGCACTACAGGTGACCCCACCACACTATACACTCTCATACACGCACTCGCGCACACACACACGCACGCACACATGAATCTATGGGGTAAATTTGTAGTTGTAGATACAGGCTATTTTGTTCAAAAAGCACACAATTTATAGACAGTCAGTCAATATGGCATTTTATAAGTTCCTACTTTAGAAATAAAATCAGTCTGACTCTAAACTAAAACACAAACAGATTCTAAAAAAGGTCTTTCTGAAGAAGGGTCTAGGTCCGAAACATCAGCCTTCCTGCTCCTCTGATGCTGCTTGGCCTGCTGTGTTCATCCAGCCCTGCACCTTGTTATCTCACACCTAACATGCATTGTTTGACCTAAAATGTAACCTCTTCTTTACACTGATAAAACCCTAAGTTCTCTCAGGACTGTAACTTGAAAGGAATTAAAACCTTCTAACTGATTAAAGATTTAACAACATCTTAAGTTTATTTGGTACATCCTCATCAATGGTGTGAACCTCTGATCTTTTACTTAAATTCTGTGTCTGATGCTACCTCTCTCACTCTCACTAACACCTGAAGAAAGACTGAGGCTCCAAAAGCTTGTGTTTTCAAGTAAACCTGTTGAACTATAACCTGATGTTGTGTGATTTCTGACCTTGTCCACCCCCCAGTCCAACACCGTCACTTCCACATCATCTCAAAATGTGAATAGCTGCTGCCTTTCACATGTCTTTTCACACAAGAGCTGTTGGTGTTCACATGTGCAGCTTCTGTTGTACTGATAGATGGGAGCAGGAGGGAATGGGCAGTGAGTTGGAGTTCATAATATAAATTCAAAATAATATCTTGTATAAGTTTTCGATTTGAAGAAGTAGTTTACTTTCATGCAATCTTCAGAGCTCTTTTTGGAAAAGGGAATGCGTTGAGAAGATGTCATTCATTTTTCAACTTCTGTTAATGGAGCAATTGCATTATGAAGGAGTTTATATTGTCTTAAAACAGAAATACCAGTCGTGAACCATACCAGACGGTATCACTTTAATTAGCAGCAGTTGATTTTTGTTTTAGCATGGCTGGGGAGAGAAGTGACTTGGGGTTGTGGAATAATCAAATAATTCTGTATGGAATATTCCTTTGGGAAATGGAAAGGTGAGTTAAATGATTGCAAATGGGTTTAGGTGTGAATTTAGTTGTATTACAATAGAATAGATTTAAAAACTGCATTTCTTTTTTGTCAGAGTCCTGCATGCTGGCAAAGCCACAGTCTATCATCGACCAAGACGTTGTTGCGAAATTACACATGTTTTAACAGAAAATCGAAATTATACAATGGAGCGAATGAAAAATACATACAAGGCACCTTACTTTCCTGTAGAGTACATTGGGCAATTCATATTAGAGGTAATTTGTCACTGTTTATAAACTAATATTTATTGCTGTAACAATTAACATTTGTGTGTCAGGTATTAGAAACTAGTCTTCAGATACTATAACAGAATGCATCCTAAAACATTCAACTTCTTCTTTGCAAAGTCGATTTTGTGGATTACATTGAAAATGATATAATTCTGGGTTTATTTTGCATTTGGAGTCAGTGTGTATAGCTAAGATCCCTGTCATCCAGTTCTTTCATAGTGTAGTGCAGCACTATGGAGAATGGTAAACCATGTCCGCTTTTACAAAGCAGTTAGCTGCCATATTTTGAAATTTAAAAGTCATAATAATCACTTTGTACACTTATCCTATCATAGCAGTTGTCAATGTAAGTGAAAGGGCTCTTCTGGCACGGTAGTAATATCCCTACCTCTGAACTACAAGGCTTGGATTCAAGTGCCATCTGCCTCTGAGATGTGCCATATCACATCTGAAAAGGTTGATTTAAAAATTTCTTCTCTGAGGCAAATGTGATGTTAGGGCGCTAGGATGGTAGAGTGCTAAGTAAGCAGTGGTAGTTGCAGAGATCAGAATGCAAGGAGGGTGGGATGCTGGGGTACAAGGTGGCAAGGGGGCAGGTAAGCGTTGCAGGATTTAAAGATAGGTCACAGCAGGCAGGAGAAATCCAACGGGTTGGGGAGGCTCAGTGTTAGCTTTGAGTTTGAGTTTGGCGACAGGCTGGTCAGGTCTGAAGGAGGTGCAGTTGGGAGTGTATAAGACAATAATGGAATCTATTCATACTTGAATTATGTATTTAATAGCCTAACTTTAAGAATTTTACTTCATCGGAACCGTCCAATGTCTCCAGTTTAAATAGAGACTTTCGGTTTTTATTTCATTTGATCATTTTGTTCATAGAATCCCTACAGTGTGGGAGCAGGCCATTTGGTTCATCATGTTGTTCCCTCCCAACTGTCTGAAGAGCGTTCCATCGAGCCCTCATCCCCTACCCCAGTAACCATGCATTTATAATGGCCAACTCACCTAGCCTGCACATTATATGGGCAATTCTTTTCGCATTGCCAATCCACCTAAGTTGCACAACTTTGGACTGTGTGAGAAAAGGGAGCACCTGGGGGAAACCCACACAGACACAGGGAGAAAATGCAAACTCCACACAGACAGTTGCCTGAAGGTGGAATCGAACCTGGTTCCCCTGTGCTGTGAAGCAGCAGTGATAATCACTGAGCCACCATGCTGTCCTACATACTTCCCTGCATTTAGAATAGAGTCATAGAGTTGTACAGCACAGAAATGGCCCCTTTGGTCCAATTCGTCCATGCTGACCGGTTATCCTAACTTAATCTTGTCCTATTTGTCAGCAATTGGCCTGTATTCCTCTAAAACCTTCCTATTCATGCACACATCTAGATGCCTTTTAAATGTTGTAATTGTACCAGCCGCCTCCACTTCTCTGGCAGCTCATTCCATGCGCGCACCACCTTTTACGTGAAATAGTTGCCCCTTAAGTCCCTTTTATATGTTTCACCTCTCACCTTTAAATCTATGCCTTCTAGTTTTGAACTCATCTACCCTGGGAAAAAGACCTTGGCTATTCACCCTATCCATACCTGTCATGATTTTATAAACCTCCTATAAGGTTGCTTCTCAGCCTCCGACGCTCCAGGGACGATAACCCCAGTTTGAAAATCCCCTTTCAGGCCTCCAGTCTCCCAGAATTATAACTAAAGCCATTGTAAAAGCAGCTTTGTAACTCAATATTTTGTGACCCAATTTGGATGGTTCTGCGTCACTGCACATTGCATTTTGTTCCTTTTTTTTCACATTTTCATTTCTGCAGCCTAAAAATATTTTTGGCTCATGGAAACTAGAGGCTTTTCATTCCTGAAAGAGCTTATGCCTGAAGAGAATTTCTGACCAGTCTTTTGAAGAAAAGGAGCCTTGACCACATTAATGTACTGGACGGTAAAAATGCCAAGGTGAAAGAGAAAACTGGTCTTGAGCAATAAATTTTGAATTGTTGCAGAGCATGAGTTTGTGCTTGATTTCTAATTATCAAAAGATTATCTTTCAAGTTCCATTAATGAAAGGGATAATCTCTGACTTTTTTTTTAAGAAATGTTCTTATTCTATCCAGCAGTATAGGCCCTATGTATCATTCATCATGTGACCTAATTTGAAAATATCCCAATGATTTTTTTTTCTATAGAGTCTATTCCTGGGTAAAATTACTGTTTTCCAACTGGATTGTTCAAACTAGTGGTTCTGAGAGAAGCTACTGCAGTTTAGTTTGCTTTTAGGCACAAGCCAAGTCAATCCCTGAAGCCAAAACTGGTTAGTTGTAAGCTTTTATTCATAATATCAGGATCTCCTCATAGTAAGCATTGTTTAAACATTAGAGACTTTTAAACCTAAAACTAGAAGTAAAAATTGGTAGGCATAAGTATCTTAATTTGTTTACTACCACAGTTTCTATGGCAATTTCTAGCTTCTGTCATCACTGAAATTTTGATTTGCAGCCTTTTTGTTCCAAGATGCCTACCAAAGATGTTAGGATCTCCAATGTAGATTTTCTGGATGTTGATCATATATCCTCGAGTTCTTTCCTGGATTCAGCATCGGATGTTACACAAATCCTGCATTCGAATTCTATTTATTTCAAGAAAGTAAAACATGAAGAGTCCTCTGTCTCTACGGACTTTAAACACAAGCTTCAGATGTGCCTAAGTTCACCTGATGTAAGCTAACACAAAGAAATTATGCAGTACTGTCTTTTTTTTTAATTCTTCACTTAAAGAAGATTTTCAAAATTAAAGTCTTGTATTGGTAATACATTAGATGTTTTTTCTGGCATTTATTTATTTTTTACTTTAGACAATACGAAGCAACTATGCGCCATCAGGTATAGGATGCTGTTTACATACCTCAACTACTAAACATCATCAGGTATGCTGATTTTTAAATTTGCACTTTGAATGTGCTAAACCTCTACAGAGAAGTGTTCTGTAATATATTGTAATGTACTTGTTTTCTTTACAATAGATTTTGAAACAAACACATTGTTCATATCGGATTTTATCTTTTCCTTTTCATTTTACTTCTAGTCTTTACAAAAAAGAATAGTTGAGTAAAGATTAATTGGCTGAATTTTCCCAATTTTTGACTAAGCATCAGTATCAGGGAGCTTTAAGAATGGTATCTCTGCATGAGCTCTCATGAATTTTCTTACGCGGTCTTGCAGACGTATCCTCGTTAAGTATACACCACGTTTCCATGGCATCACTCTTGCACTCCCTTGTGTTCAGTAGCAGCCGAGGCGCTTACCACTGCCAGGACCTTCCGGCATTTCGCCACTGATACCATGCCAGCATCAATTTAAATGTTGCAAGGTAGAATGTGCCCTTTACAGATTCAATGTGTGAAGAATTAAATGAGTACTGGCAATTAGAGGAAAATTGGTGCCCCGCTTTGATGATCATAACCTGGTGACCAGGGTGGATAGGAGTACCTGTATCCTCACAGCTTCTAGTGGAGACCTCAACACCAGACCCTGTCAGTCTGGTTTGAAGTTGCCACCTGGGGTCCTAGGTGTCCATGAACCAGAGGCATGTTCAATGCAGGAAGGAGGTTAATTCTTCTGCAAAGGTCAGTATCTCCATTGAAGCCAAGGTTGTAATGACAGTTGTTGACCCCCATACCTGACTCCCCACAGTGCAGTCCCCCATGCTTCCACTGTTGTATCAGCTTTTCCCACTCTTCTTTAAACCTTGAATTGATCCTTGAGTTACTTTCCTGTCTGCATTCTAGCATAATGTCTGCAGTACCCACAGTTGACTTCTGCGCTATAGCAGTGGGCCTGATTTTTAAATTCTGTTTTTTTTTTCCCACCCCACCCCCAAGTTTGATATTCGACATGATGTGAAGAGAAGCACACAGGCACATAATTTATAGGCAGAGAGATCAAAAGATCGTACAAGTGGTGTGAGTGGAATGCTACATGTAACCCCACCATATTGTTCTGAATCTGTAAAATCTTCCTAACTGTCCTGTTTTGACACCATCACTGATAACTTGTTATGATCTCTCTACCTTAACTAGTTTGTACAGTTTTGAATTACTTGTTACTTCGGCTGGACACTCTGTGACTGTTATACCTAGTGTCTTATTCTAGCCATTTGGTTTGTTTCCATCACCACCTTATTTTTATTTTTTTGTAATTATCTCTTTGCCTCCATTAGTCGGATTGTAGGTCATCTCTTCACTTACTACTCAGCTGTTGTCACTTTACTCACACTGTCTGACACTTGATCACCTGCAGAGAGTTTTTATTCAGCCGGTTGACACTCCACACACACCATTTGTACGATCCTTTGATCTCTCTGCCAATAAATTATGTGTACCTGTGTGCTTCTCTTCACTTCAACTGACAAAGGAGCAGCGCTCCAAAAACTTGTGATTTCAGATAAACCTGTTGGACTATAACCTGGTGTTGTGTGACTTCTGACCTTCTGCAGAGTTCAAAAATCTTGTGTTGTGCATCTTAGGATCCAATTGCTGAATTTTCTCCATCTGTTGTTTATGGATGCAAAAGCTACTTCCTCAAGACAATACTATTATTTAAAGTGGAATATTCCCCTAATCAAGTGTGTTATGGTTAATTGCGAGCTGGTAGCAGTATTATAGTGAGGATGAAAAAAAGATTGTCCATACCAGATTTTTCCCTTGAGTGGCGACTTCAGAATATCATCTTTCAGGTGGCAATTATCTTCTATTTCCGTATGTTTGCATCTCATTAAAACATGGAACTTGCCCTGCAGAAGTGCGTAGAGTACTCACTTCCATACTGTCACTTTAAGGGTGGTTATAAGTGTGGAATGATGTCTGCCTCAGTTTTGTCTGTATTAGAGTATAACACCTTGACTGCTGTCCTCAATATCACAGTTCAAGGATCCCTGATGTCTGAAGCTATCTGCAGTCAAGATCTTAAGACAAGAAGCAAGCCATTCAGCCCATCGAGTATACTCTGCCATTTCATGAGATCGTGGCTGATCTGATAATCCTCAACTCACCTTTCCTGTCTTTTCTCCATAACCCTTGATTCCCTTATTGATTTTAAAAATCTGTCTATCTCCACTTTAAATATACTTAACAACGTGGCATCTACATACTCTGTAGTAAGGAATTCCATAGATTCACTAATATCTGAAAGAAGAAGTTTCTCCTCCTCTGTCTTTAATGGGTGACCCCCTTTATTCTAAAGTACCTTTTTTTGGTCCTAGATTCTCCCACAAAGGAAACATCCTTTTCCCCTTGAGAATCTTGTTTGTTCCAATAAACTCTCTCCTCGTTCTTCTAAACTCGAAAGAGTACAAGCCCATAGAATCAGTTGCTTGTTAGAGGCGACGAAACCTTTATGCTTGCGATTCTTTCATCCATAGGATGTCTGAAGAGGCTGTTCGTCTTTGATACGGGTGTGCCTTAAGCAGCTATGAAATCGCAAAATTGTACTCTGAAATGTTAACATTGCAAGTGAAAATGTATTTAGAAAAGTGATTTCCAATGATTTTACAGCCATGCCATCTATGTGAGGTCAGTGAGTTTTTTATTCTCTGCCTCCCACTAACTTAAACAGTTGGGGTGGTGGGAACTGTCCTGTGGTGGAGCCTGTTGATTCGGAAGACTTGGGCAGTAGTCCCCTGGTGTCTTTGAGCCCTGGGTGCCTGCTGGAACTATCCTGTCTCCCTAAGAGACAGGATCACCTTCTGTGAGGTCAAGATCCCATGTCTCCCCAACACCTTGCCATTAATGCTGAGCACTTATGGCTGGAGTAATGGAGTGTAGGTCTGTGCACTTGTCCTCCCATCATGAGTCTGCTTCACCAGGGAACTACAAGGTGGTCACCAAACTGTCCATGGAGACAGCCAGGCACATGCATGTAGGAGCCAGCATGGTACTAATAAAATTGGTAGACTCCTAAATCGTTCATTCTACCTTGCCAAATACCTCCTGGCACTACAGTGTAGTGATTGAATTGACCATCAAAGAGGAGTTGACTGGATGAAACAAGTCCGATAAGTTGTGAATCTCTGAGTTGAAGAGAAGCTAAAGTATCCTGGATCTAGGGAAAGGCTTTAAACCAATTTATAATCAAATATACCACTGTGAGTATTACCTATTTGAAACTGAGTTGCAAATGAATTTCTTCTCCTAAAGGGTAGTGAATGCCTGGAATTCTGTATCCCAAAGAAATGTTGGAGGCTAGATCGCTGAAAGGATTTAAAGAAGTAGGTAGTTTTTGTTTCCAGTATTAGAGTTGGTAGCTAGGCTGAGCTGGCATAAAAGAAGTGCAGGCCTGGGACAGATTAGCCATAATCATATTGAATGGTGAATCAGGATTGGCGCTGTGTAGCCTGCTCACTTACTGTATTTTTCACAGGCCTGCGTTATTTTCTGACTTATTTTCTGTCGTACAATATAAACTACGATTAGGGACCTGTAGACTACTTCCACTAGTGTTGTGTTCCCCTCATTTTTCTACCCTTATGCAATCTACATCTTCCAATCCAAGATAATTTCTTACTGTTGTACTTTTTCCATCTCATACTAACAAAGCTACTCCATCAGCTTTCTGTGCATCTGTCAGTTGAAATTTGTTTCATGTTGCTATTCAAGTTGCTGAAGGTCTTTCCAGAGTGCAGTTGTAACACCTCATTCTTTCTATGACTGGGAGTTTGTTTAGTTTCAGTTTGAGTCATTGAGCATTTCATTCACCAAAAGAAAACTTCTGCTTGCAGATTCAAGCGATGATATTCCCTGGAGTTACCATTAATAGAATAGAAGGTATTTTGGAGGGGCAATTCTATATGGAAGCATTGAAGGAAATACGTTTTCACTTGTCATCCAATTTTTTTCCACCTGCATTTCTACTGCAGTCTCTCTTGCAACAGATTCTGGAGGTGAGTTGAAATGCCAAGCTTGGCTCAAAATTGGATTTGAGTGCCTGAATCAATTGGTTGGCACAATTCAGTAAACGCCAGTGAGAGTCTCCCTCACTGATACTGGCAGTCTTGCAGAACCTAGTGCTGAAGAGGCAGGAATGTCCTGGCTGCTGAAAACATGGAGGACAATACAAGGCATTCTCTGAAAATGGGAAGCAACAGTATCCTGTCAGCTAGAAGGATGTCAGGATACATGCATGTTGATGCCACATGTATTCACTTCTTTCATTTGGCCCTTGACCACTGCAAACAATATGTTTAATAAAGATATGCACTCTAAGCACGGTAATGTCAATCACCTGTGCTGTAAGCAGAATCCTTCTCAGCCAGGACATTTGGTGCCTTTGCAATACAGAAAACGATGAATGTGCATGTCATGGTCACACTCTGTCTTCTAGCCTAATGAGCCTGACATGCTGAGGGGCACCTGTATGGTTACAGGAACCTCAACTGTCATAACAACTTCAAGTGCTGGTGTCACTGGTAGAAAGGCTGAAGAGCTGCTGTCCACAATGGAAGCGCCCTTCAAGAAGCTCCTAGAAGCCTAAAGTAACCGCTCCTCCCATAACGACTATTTGTACATATCTGCTGACCTGGGAATTACAAAGTCTGGTGGCAACTTTAGGTAACCAAAATAAGATGATCAGTGATTCTCACCCTTCCAAACAAAAGCCCATGGAGTTTCAATCCTATGTCAGGTGATGATGCAACTGCTTCTTCAAAGTCTGCTACCAGCTGCTCAGTGGCCAGCCACTTTGCTTGTCAACCATTGTCAGCTGAAGGCCCACTATGGATAGGAGTCAGAGCAGGAGGACCTTTGCCAACCACTCCTGGTCTCTGTTCCACTTTCTCATTGGAACCTGAAAACTTCCAGTCCTTAGCTTCATTTTCAAATTCCCCTTGGACCGTCTCTGTATTCTCTAGGTGATACAGGTCTAGAACTGTTCCTCCAGCTTTGTCTTTTTTTTTCTGCATCCCTCATCTCCTTCTCCCCACTATTGCCTCATGTCCTCAGCCATGGACTCAAAACAAGAATCTTTTTTTAAAATCCTCAACTTTCACGAAGATTTTAGTCACTAATTCTAATCGTTTTGGCTCCGTTCATTTTTTTTTGGGTCTAATGGCACAGAGTGCAAGTTTTGTAACTGGTTCAGTTAAGCTTTTGATTATTGGTTTTCCCCATTCCCCGGGGATCTTTTTAAGAATTCACTCATGGGATATGGGCTTCACTAGTCAGGCCAGCATTTATTGCCACTCTCTCTAGTTGCCCTTGAGAAGGTGATAGTGAGCTGCCTCCTTGAATCACTGCAGTCCATGTGCTGGAGGTGGATCCATAATGCTGCCAATTAGGAATTCCAGGATTTTAATGCATTGACACTGATGTAACAGTGATATATTTCCAAGTCAGGGTGGTTTGGAGGGGAGTTTGCAGGAGGCGGACTCCCTGCTGATGCATTAGAAAGTAGCAGAACTGATTGGGCTTCATCTTTTGGAGATGGTTTTTGTTTGCCATTTATGTGATACAGAAGCTACTTGCCAGTCCTATGCCCAAGCCTGGGTTTTCTGCAGGTACTGTTGGGGCTAACATAGACTGCTTCATTATCAGAGGAATTGTGAACAGAGCTCAACATAAACATGGGTTCAAAGAATAGTTACTTAATTCTAAAACGCACACTGCTAAAGCAGGAACCCAATGGCCTGGAAATACATTGTAATTTGTCAGCAAAAGTAAAGAGAAGTGATGTTGTTTGTATTAGTGATCTGTAGGATTTTCTCCTTTACAAATGTTGACAGGCTATAATATATTTCTGTAACTGAAAGATTTGTTACTCCAGATCTGCAAGATCAAAAGATGAGATACTTCTCATTCAAATGGTGCACCACTATTGGGTATCCACTGAATCAAAATTTTATTTTGATGGTAGGGTAATGTAGACATGAATTTCTTGCGTGAGTTCATCAGCATCATGGAAACTCTCATTCTTCATCATCCACCCTGGCAGCAGTCTTCAATAGTGAGTTACTATATGGAAATTCTTCAGTGCTCCAGTTGTAAGAAAGGAAGTTTCTTTCTTTTGGAGTCACTTGCAAGGTAAGAAAATTCTACACGTCTAAATATCAACATTGACAATGTTTTATCAAATAGGTTATCCTAGCTGGTAGTGTACAAATCTAATCAGAAATCTGACTTGGTAAATTATATTTTGTTTCCTTTTTGTTTTAATGAGATGGTGTTCAACTGAAATACAAATATGCAATGCTGCAGTTTTGATTTGACAATAAATATAAAGTTTAAACAAATTAAAAAAGCCATACTATTTACATATAACACCAGTTTAAAGATTTAAAAAGCCATAGTAAAAGAAAATCCCCACTGCACACCTTTATAGTACTGTACACTACAGAAAGAATTTCTGATCACAGACGGTTTGACTTAACAGATGCTTCAATTCCTGGCCATTAGAATCTGAAAGCCTTCTTGAGTATTCGTCGAACTGAACACATACTTTTCTCCACTTCAAATAACCCTTTCAGATTTTTAATCAAACATTTCTGGATCTGGACCTTTTTAAGACTAAGCTCCTTACACTAAGGGAATCAAATTCTTAACAATTCTAGACGATCTCCCTTTCTTAGCCCCAGCAGTTTCGCACTTCCAACTTTAGTGAAAACTTTGGCTAACCCCAACTGACACCCAAGTCTTTCTTTTTTTTCCAAAGCTATGGGTGTTTCCCCTCATCAAAAAATCAGTAAGAGTGATTGTAAGGGCCAGATCTAAAGTTACCCAGGAGCTGGACTGTTTTTTATCCTGTTCAGCTTATCTTGGGTAACTAACCAGGAAAATACTGTGGAACTGTCCAATTTTCTGACTCCCTGAAATCAGAGGTTCATTTGTGTGCAAATGGTGCTATGGAATGGGGGAGTTGCCCTTGATCCCTATAGGCTGTTGTGGACCAGACCAAACCCCTTCAAAATGTATTAAGAAGATAGCCTAGACTCTAACAACGTCTCATTTTAAAGTTGTGTAAAGTGTTGCGTTCCAGATGCAATTTAATTGGTCAGCTACTTGACGTTACGCATAACACATTTTATTTTTACACTGCTATTAAAATACAGACAAAATAAAAAGAAAATTAGCTTAACTTAAACTATCAAAATGCTTAACAAAACAATATATATTAACTGCTACTAATTAACTGTTCCAATATAATAACATTGTGTCAACACACCTTTGGCAAAGGCAAATTCAATGAAACAGATAGTCTGACATGCAATTCTAACAGCAGGAAAAGAGCCCCCAACTTTTAGCTATAACAGACAGAGAAAAAAAGAACTCCCACATCTAGCTTCAAGATCGCAGAAAATGCAGAAAACTAAAACTTAAAAATCCTGCTTCTGTGGGAGCTTGACCCCACCTATTCAGGCTGCTTCTGTTGTTCCAACTTCAAAAAAAACCCCAAGCTGTTTAATTGCTTTGAGCAGACTGCTCAATATCTCTTAAAGCTATACTACTAACTTCAGTGGTGAACTTCTGCAACTCCAGATTCTGGATCTTAGATTGTGTATTTCTTCCTTGATGATCTGGGCCTACGACATTAACAATGTTATGAGCAAGCAGGAATAGGTACCCAAATTAACAAAGGATATCTGCTAGGGCATGGTTGCAGGATGTGTGGGCTAAAAATTCAGGACATTTGACGTTTGGAACAGATGGGCAGAATGGAAAGACTAATGATGGGCTGGGACTTTTCTCATTGAAGTTTGGGAGATTGAGGGGTGACCTTATAGTGGTTTATAAAATCATGAGGGGAATAGATAAGGTGAATAGCAAAGATCTTTACCCTAGGGTAAAGGAGTTCAAAACTTGAGGGCATATTTTTAAGGTGTGTGAAATAAACTGCAGAGAAAGCGGTAGACCAGGTACAGTTACAATATTTAAAAGACATTTGGACAGATGCATGAATAGGAAAGATTTACATGGATATGGGCCAAATGCAGGCAAGTGGGACAAGTTTAGTTTGGGAGACCTGGTCGGCTTGTACAAGTTGGACTGAAGAGTCTGTTTCCATTCTGTGATTCCATAATCAATCTGTGTGATTTAAATTGTAATTGAAGTTGGAGCAATAGATTTTTCAGCTATTCAGTTAAAAACACTTTTCAATAATATAAAGTGTTTTATTTGTAAGCAGATCTATTGTGTTTTCATAATGTTTCTTCTGCCATCCACTAAATTCTAAATAAATTAAATTTGGAATTTATAGGTCCTGTGTTTATGAAAAAGAACCCTGTCATTGGTCATCAAATCGAGAGCTATCCATTTCAAAACTGAAGCCACTTTATAGATTGCTATTAAAGTACTACTTTGACCTGTTTGAAGCAGAGCTGGAGGCATTAAATAAAAGGTAATTTGGGTTGGAGGGTTTAATGCCTTTGCCATGGAATGTTGCTGTGTAAGACAATTTTTCCAAACATTAATGGAGATGTGAAGTGTTTCTTTTTAACTCATTCTTGGAACGTGGACTTTGGCCAGCATTCATTGCCCTTCCTTAGTCGCCCTGGAGATGGGGGTGGAGAGCTGCTGCTTTGACCCACTACATCCATTTGCTGTAGGTAGACTGAATGCTTTATGGAGGGAATAACAAGGTTTTGACTCATCAACAGGAATGGCGATTATATTTCCAAGTCAGGATCATGAATGCATTGGAGCTGAATTTGTAGGTGGTTCTGTTCCGATGTAGTTGCTGCCATTGTCCTTCTAGATGGTAGTGTTGTGGGTTTGGAAGGTGTTGCCTAAGGAGCCTTGGTGAAGCTCTGCAGTACATGTTGTGGATGTTGCACGCTGCTGCTGCTGAGTATCAGTGGTGAAAGGAGTAAATGACACTATGTTCACTGACAAAAAACGAATGACTGTTTTGATCTGAATGGTATCAAGCTTCTTGAGTAGTGTTGTGCGCATGCAGAGAAATGGGAAGTATTAAATTACACTCCTGACTTGTGGCTTGTAGATGGCAGGCAGCCTTTTGGGGAATTGCGAGGTGAGTTACTTGCTGCACAATTCCTAGCCTTTGATTTGCTCTTGTTGCCATGGTTTTTATATGGCTAGAATCCCCAAAAAGTTGATGGTGAGGGGATTTGGTGATGGTTATGCCATTAAGGGGCTGTAGTTAGATTCTCTGTCGTTGCAGATGGTCATTATCTGGCAATTGTACGGTACTTGCCATTTGTCAGCAAATCTCAATTATTGTCCAGATCTTGCAGCATTTGGACATGGACTGCTTCAGTATCTTAAGAGTTGAGAATGGTACTCAACATTGTACAATCATCAGAGCATATCCCTTGTTCTTATGATGGAGGAAAATCTTAATTTGGCTGGTTTGGTTGCACCCTTGGGTTGGGGTTACAATATTATGGATTTGAAACCCAATACAAGACTTGAGCATGTAATCCAGACTGACGTTACAGTATAACATTAAGGAAATAAGTGGCATCCTGTGAACGAAACATTGAATAAATGAAACATACTTTGAGTCACCATTGGCCAAAAACCGAACTGAACTAGCTGTATGAATTCTGTGCCTGCAAGAGCAGGTAAATGCTAGGACCTCCTGACTCCTGAAAGCCTGACCACCATCTGTAAGTTGAGAGTGAGATGAATACTCCCCACTTAGCTTGAATGCTTGCAGCTCCAACACCACTCAAGAAGCTTGACACCATCCAGGACAACTGACTGGTACCATATCCACAAACGTTCACTGCTTCTACCACTGATGCATAGTCACAGCATGTGCAAGCCACACTACAAAAATTCACCAAATCTCCCTAGACAAAAACTTCCAAACATGGAGTCACTGCCATCTAGACAATTGGCATTAAAATATGGGAACGTCACCACCTGTTAAGTTCCCCTCCAAGCCACTCACCATCTGGGCTTGGAAATATATCACCATTCCTTTTGTTGTCACTGGGTTAAAATTCTGAAATTTTCTCCCTTATGGTAATATGTGAGTGTACCTACATCAAATGGACTGCAGTATTTAAGAAGGCAGCTCACCACCACCTTCTCAAGGGCAACTAGGGATGGACAAAAAGGCTGGCCTAGCGAGCAAAACCATATCCCATGAGTGAGTAAACAAAAATGAATTTGAAAGAAAGCCTGAGAATTTTAACATCCAAGGCATAGTATTTTTCATAGGAGATTGTCCAGATCATATTCTTTGGGCAGTAGGTACCAAGCAAAACATGAATTGCAATAGATTGTGATTGCAACATTGATTTCTCATTGGTTTACATGGGAAGTGTCACTGGAAAGGTCATTGAACTGTTTTTTGTCTAAATGTGAAAATGATTGAGAGATATTTTAACATAATGCTTTGTATAAATGCAGAGTCTTATAGTTATTGGAATAATGCTAATAGAGTCTGACATTTGAAGATTCTGCAAAAAAGCTCTTACCCATACATTTTAGGTAACCTTTATGCAAAACCCTGTAGAATATTCATGTGTTGGCGTTCGAATAATTTCAGACAAAGGATAGTTGGCACTTACCCGAGAGCTTTTCTTGCCAAGTTACATTGCGTAAATATGACAAGACTGACTGCACATTTCTACAGATCGAACAGTTAGCACAGCAATGTCATGGAAAGAATCTTCCGAGTTTATTTATTTTTGGGTTTGAAGCTCAGCATGTGTTGGAGAAGATCAGCCTGAAAACTTAACTAACACTTCCCAAAATTGAAGTGAATTAGCTTTATTATTGCATATATTCAAATGAGTACAGTGAAAAGTTTAGAAGTTGCCACTTAAGATGCCATCTTAGGTACAAGATACCTAGGTACAGAATCTTAGGGGGGAAAAAAAATTAGAAAAATAAAGAAATAAAAAAATCCAGCATTACAGGTTGTAGGAATAAATTGGGAAATAGAGAAATAAAAAGTTCAGAATAATGGTCCTTCTAACCCAGTCCACACTGGTGCCGAGCCTCCAGTGCATGCCAGGTCTTGACTCTAGACTGCACTGGGCTTCACCCTGAGGCTCTCAAGGCTGGGAGACTGCTCTGGAATCACCTTGAGGCCAGAAGTCCAGCTGAGGCCACACCAGACCGAGAGACTACCACATGCAGCTGAAAGACCAGCTGGTGTTTTTCAGTTTGCTGAAACGTGGAACAGGAGTTTTAAATTTGTATATTCTGGCATGCACCAAGTTATTGTAAAACCTCAGTCCATGCTAGCTCCATTTCCCTCTGGCTTTCTGCTGTTTCTCTTTCTTCACCATGTCCTGCACATTCCATACATGTCCAGGTACTAGTCGCAGTGATCGCTGCCCCTGTGCCCTTAACCGTGATCACTCCTGTATTCCTCCCCAATATTAATCTCCACCACCATCCTCAACAGCCTTCTCCTCCCTTGTTCAACCCCCAAAAATGCTCAATACCCACTCCCGCCACTTGGTGATATTGACTTTGTTCTTCCTTAGTGGTGCCACCTAACCCCTACTGTTCCTTCAGTCATTTCACAGAGGCACTGTGGTCAAGTGTGCAACATCTCCAGTTTCTTTGCTATTAATAATAAATAATGCTTCCTTATTTATATACCATCCATAGGAGTATTTAATGGCCTTTTGACATGTTTATTGGAAAAATAAAACTTTTAATTTGAATAACACCAAAAATCCTAAGGTAAGGCAAGCACATGTGATTGTCAATAGTGTAGCTAAACAGCTGAATTTGATGGCCTTCAGCTAAGAGCCAGTCGAGGCACTTTGCGGAAATGTCATACGTGAAAAGGAATGACTACGACACAGACCCTGATGGGATTTCTGGGACTACTAATGTAATTATTTGTAGGGTCCCAATGGAGTTTGAGTAAATTTTCTTAGGGAATAATCTCTGAGGCTGTGCTTGAAGGAGGATTGCCAGCAGAAACAGGCCAGAGCCGGTTGACGTGGTTCACGTATGTTTGGGTCATAGATTCCCCATGCAAATTAATGTGAGTGTGTGTTCGAAAACAAAAAAACTTTGGTTTGTTAGGTCATTTTGGCTTTCAGACATGGTTAAAGGATACCTGACCTGAATTTAAAAACTGGGCCACCACCACGGAGATTGACAGGATATATGTAATTCTTTTTCTCTTCTTTTGCTTTATGAAAGCTGCTATGAAAACACAAATTATGGGGCTTCTCGTATCATACCTCCTTCTGTCCTTGCAAAAGTTTTCTTGGAATACTCTGATGTGATGACGAATCCTGTTGCTGTTTTGTTGGATTGTGTTCTTCAAGCAACTAGAGCAGTGGTTAAGAAACCAAATGATGTGAGCAGATTTATTCAATTACAGCAAATTACAATTTGGTTTAGGATTTTTATATCAATGACATTGGTCTGATACATAAATACTTTCAAGGGCATGAAAGTTAGATCATAGCATCCCTACAGTGTGGGGACAGACCTTGGGGCCCCACAAGTCCACACCGATCCTCCGAGCTTACCACCCAGACCCATCCCCTATAACCCACCTAATCTACACATCCCTGAACACTATGGGCAATTTAGCATCGCCAATCCACCCAGCCTGCACATCTTTTGGACTGCAGGAAGAAACAGGAGCACCCAGGGGAAACCCACACAGACGCAGGGAGAATGTGCAAACTCCATGCAGACAGTCGCCCAAGGGTGGAAGCGAACCCAGGTTCCCTGGCGCTGTGAGACTGCAGTGCTAACCACTGAGCCACTGTGCCATCCTGGCTCTGGCTATTTTCTGTTCGTATGAAAAATGTGAATACGAAGTGAGTTTTGAGAACTTTTGCATTTGCCGGGCTACATAAACTGGCATCTGTAATTTTTTTTTGATGGCTTTACACTTTTAGTTTAATTTATGCAATTGTAATTCTGGAGAGAATGGAAATAAATACACTGGTATTGAGGTAGGACAACCTGTATGTTAAATTTTCAAATGTTGAAGGATTATGGACTAGTTCAGGCCTGTTATGCTTAATGTGCATTTAGAACATTAAAGGTGATTTTATTTGAACTTGAAGTAGCCATTATTGGTGACTGTGCATTGGCCTATTTTAATTGTTCTTTATTTTCCTGTTCAGAGACATTTATGTGAAACAGCTTACACCTTACATGGCGTATTAGGAGTAGTTGTCGAGTATCGGCTTTTGGTAAATAGACTACGTGGGAGATCCTTATCTGGCCGAACTTGGGATGATTTACAGTTTTACATTCCTATATGTTGTCAAGGTGAAGATAAATTTAAAATCTATTGTTTGACAGACCTGAATACCCGCTCAGAATTTATTTTGTCAACTTCTAGACTAATTTTGCTAACTCCTCATAGGTTTAACAAAAGTAATGCAATTGAGAACCTCAATTGTGAGCTGACTTTATTAAAGACAAAGTAATGTTGGAAAATGAAAGATTAAGCTCTTCAATATCATCGGGGTTCTTTTTAGTGACTTGTTTTGCAATGGTCTGTTGTCAATGTGTTAATTACAAAATATGTTTATGGAAACTTAAACTTGTGATTCCTTACAGATTACAATCAAGACGAAATTGAGATGTTATTTAAATTAATGCCATCATCTTGGCTGCAAATGTTCACTGCACAAGCTATGTATAAGCAGATATGCTACAGTAATGGCATCGAAATTTCAGAAAAGTCTTTTTCACTGCACCAAATAGTGAGTATGAGCTTTGCCCAAAATCTTTTGTACATAGTATATCATTTGACTTGCCTTTTCTGCCAAGCTGTAATATATCTAGCCATCACATCCCCATTCACTGTAAATTGCAAAAAACACTTTTGAAATGCTGCAATCACAGTATAAATGGCCTATCAGTATTCCATCATTTGATTGTTATACCTGAAACATTCCATGGGGAAAGAATGGTTTTAAGAAGGATAAATACTGACATGAGCCAAGCTCTTGAAGCTATCAGTAAACAAGGATCGGTCTAAGCTAAGATTTTCATCATTGTCGCTCTCTGTGTTACATTCTTCATCAGCACATTGTCACAGGAATACAATTCAAGGGGCAAATTAACATTTAGACTCTGGTAAAGACTTTGCAATGGACGATACACCTATTTGTGCTGATTGACAGCACATGTCTGCTTCATTGATCATCAAGCTGTTTCCTATTAATGTACATTTTTCAGGCTGGCGAAAGCTTTGTAGTGGAGGTCACCAGGAGTCAATATTGTTGTACACCAAAAGTTGAATCTTTTTCAACAGAGTCTAAGTCCAAGCTTTCAGTGAGAGCTTTATTTCAATTAATCCACACCATAAATTTCTTACCCCACTGATTACTAAGTCCCCACATTGACACAACTAATTCACACCCTATTAACCCCTAATTTATCCATCACCTGTTCCCTCCTTCTATTGGGCCTCTGGCATTTATTCAGACCATTTATTAGATGATAAAAGATTCTCTTTCTTTTTTTTTTAAATAGTCAATAAGTTTGTATATGTACAAAATGACAATGTGCTACTCTTTTGCACACTGAAGTTTCAAGCATCCCTTTTGGAGTGTGTCTAATAGTTTCTTTGAGCTTGTTCCTTCTTTTGTTTTGGAATCAGATTGTTGAGCTACTGCAATCCACCCATTTCAATTTGGAGATTTTTTTTTCTCCAGCTTTTTTTAACACTGCAATGCCTATCCTCAGTCTCTTCTCATTCACATATTTTGTTAAGTGAGCATTGTCCCAAAATGATTTATTATTGATGTTGCACTCATTGGGTATTGCTGCTGAATCATCTTTTGGAATTGCCTCCAATGTTTTCACTAAGAAAAGCATCTTATTTACTGCCTCAGAATGAATGAGTGCTTATACTGCTAAGGCACTTGTTACTTTTCTTCGGATCTTTTTGTTTTGGTAGCTAAAGGACGTTATTATCCTCCCTTGCCCATAGATAAATTATGAACCCTCCTTTAATTGAGACCTGTCAGAGATTTTGCATAATGAGGATCACTCAAAAACATCACTCAATGATCAAAAGTTCAAAATACCATGCTCCATTTTTATTTTTTTGTAAATACATTGATTGTCTGAATAATATCTTCTATCATGGAACTTCACCTAGTTGTACTCCACTCTAATACATCAAAACTGGCATCTGGCCTTATTTGGGTGCCCAGACAATTTAGTTGTCCGATTACACCACAATTCCTCGATTTCAGTTTTAGAAGCTGCTATACCTATTTGCAAAGATCTACTTTGACTACTAGTGATGAGGCTTCCAAATAAGATTGTTGATGCAAAGTAAAACTTGATCCATACTACCTGATTTTGAATCCAATGTACTTAAAAGGCCCAGAAGCCCGACCTCTAATTTTGAATTCTGCTTTAAGTTCATTTATTTCAGTTTTAAAATATGCTGCTCACAGCTCTTAAAGTTATGTGTACCTCCCTGAAGTGCCTGAAAGCTGTCCCCCGTGATGCCAGTAAAACATGGTAGGTTCTACTTTTAACTGAAGACAACCCAATTTCAAGAAGACAGACCTTACTGAGAACCACAAAACCCCAGTGGCATAATTTAGTCCACATACACACATTTATTTTACTTCCAAAGCATCCCTGCTGCATTTTGGTGCCTCTTTTGGAGGACAGAGAAACATTTCCTTCTTGAGCCCAAATTCCTGTGGAAATGTGGCTTTAATATTAATTGATCCACACTCCTAAGTATTTGCTAGCAAAGACAAGAAAATTTTCCAAATCGATTTTCCTGTCACGACTGATCTACTCTTCTATCTAGGTTCCCCCACTTTTTGTTCAAACCTCAATCCATTAGTTGAAATTGGGATTCTACTTTTACAGACAATTAGACTGTTTAAAAAAAAATCAAAATGCCACATGTTAAATAATAAATAAAATTGCAGAACATGTAGGGCAATTGTTCAGTAAAATTCACTGTACCAGCTACTAATTACATAGTAATTGTTCAGCCAATTATAAATAAAAAATTTCTTAACTATTTTGTAATTTGATACACAGTATTAGTTACATTTTAAGCTTTGTAGTTTTGGACTTGTCTAAGGTATTAACAAAAGTAAAGATTGAACATATTGTTTGATTACGGAGTTTTGAGCAACAGATATACTATTGAAATGCTCACAATCCCACGTGCAGGCAGAAGTGGCAAATGAAGAAAAGTATGTCTAGGTATGACCTTCCATTAGATCAGTAGTGGCTAACTTTCAGAACAGATGCCATTTATGTCTCATTGTGGTGAGTGGACTGTAAATCTTATTGAATGAATTTTCTTGTTCTGATAGATCTCTTCATATTTAATAGCCCTTGGGAGGCTAGAAAGTTGTAAGAAAGTGATGGTGAAGGACCCCAAGGGAAAGAAGATGGGTCATCAACCTTGTCTTGAACCTTTGAGGCCGTCACTTACATTGACTAGTGACAGGCAGAAGCATGTGGAAACACTGACCGTTCTAGCGTGAGTAATTCTTACAACATCTCTGCTTTAAAGTCACTTCTGAAAAAGCTGTTGGACTGAAATGGTTCATAGGCTTTTGGTGATTCATATTTTGTTTCCAGCTAATCATCCGTGTCGGTTTTTTTTTTCTATTCGATTACGAGGCATCAGATGTGAATAATAAGTTGATGTGTAATTTTACTGTCTTTTCTCTGTTATTCAGCAGTACTTGAATTTTATTCTATAATAAATTTTAGCAATATTGTGTGTTTAAAACTAAAAAAAATTTCTCACCTAATAATATTGAGCTTGAAAAGTAATTATACCTTCCCGTAAGCAATATGGTGAAAGTCTATGCCATGAAATCAGAGCCCTACACGTAATGCAATAAAAACTGCATATTTCCTATCTCACCACACATTTAGAGTCATAAAGTCATAGAGTTGTACAGCACGGAAACAGATCCTTTGGTGCAACTCGCCCATGCTGACCAGATATCCTAAATTAATCTAATCCCATTTGCCATCATTTGGCCCATTTCCCTTTAAACCCTTCTTCGTGTACTTATCCAGATGCCTTTTAGATGTTATAATTTGTAATAGTCACCACCATTTCCTCTGGCAACTCATTTCATTCATGCACTACTCTCTGTGTGAAAAAGTTGTCCCTTAGGTCCCTTTTACATCTTTCCCCTCTCGCATTTAACCTATGGCCTCTAGTGCAGCTCTTCAACAACGTGCTGATTTCTGTGTTCAATTTGGATCTAACAGGCTGAAATTTGCTATGCATAAAGTGGCAATAAGTCATGCTCAATTCTGAGGCTGCTTCTGTGCATCTGTGGGTGGCTCTTTATTTAAAATAAAACCCATTCTGTAATTTGTTGGCTGTTGCTGTACAGCCTGTCTCCTGAATCCTGTCTGGCCCAGCCGTTGCTGATCAATTGTGGATGGTTTTCAGTGCTATTTTTGCTTCATACTGACTTTTGGAGTTGAAATTTTAACTCTGCTCAGAAAATATTGTATACTTTGTTAGCTATCAGGAAAATTTCCTGACAGGTTAAGGACAGGACTTTGCAGGGATGCAGTAGTTTTATGTTTGCCTCAACTCTGCTACCAAATTTCAAGAATATATTACTAATCTCAGATCATTGGTTTCATTTGCAATGCTTGCCTGTGAACTGCCTTGGTAGGCTGCTGGCAAACATGATGAGGTTTGCTGGGCAGCCTTCAGAAGACCTATGTGAGTTGCATTAAATCCCTCAGCAGGAATTAAATTCTAGTGATCTAGGGAATAATTGGCCCTAAGTGACCTATTCATAAAACCAAATGATATGCCACAGACAGGTAGGATTCCTGTATCAGGCCCATCCGACCTGCCAGTAAGTTGGGGATAGTTTTTCCAACTTCAAGAGTCAGACACAAGTACTTCTGCCCAATTCTCCCAGCGACCTTGCCATCAGCCAGGCATGTGTATGACATACGCATTCAATAAATCTTCCTTAAATGTGAGCTACCAAGACCTGTTGTTCACAACACAGTTTTAATTATTGTCTCAGTATTATTTCACAACATGGTAGCCGAATATTTCCCTGGTGTGTCTACATAACATCAAACCTCCCATTTGATGCTGATTTTGTATCAGCATTGTTTTCTTTTTAGATTAGTATCAATCTTATGTGACAGAGTAGCATGAATTTATTTAATTTCGAAAGTATTATTTGACTTGGAAGTTGGTAAGTACTACTCCATATATGGCTGAGATTCTTTACTCAGGATATCTGTCTTCCTTTTCTCCTCCACGTCCCATCCAGTCACAAACACCTCAGCCATAAACACATGATGGAAATACAGCTCGCTGACAGCATCACTTTTAAAAGTGCTATCTTGTAGACTGTATCAGTTGTCACCATGGACAGCCTCATGTACGGCATCATTCCTGTATAATTTAGTCTGCCACTTTATATTTCAACCATTACCAATCCAGGGACCCAGCAATATTATTTCAAAACTATCTTCAGAGTGATTGTTATGGTTCATCCAAATTGTAGGTTCCATTGTAGAGGATTGTCAATAGTTAAATTTTTTGTACACTCATTTTACTCACGATATCTAAAGTACAGATTATTTGTCAATACTATGCTTTGTGATGTTTTATGTATAAAAGAAATGTGACAATTGATCTTATTGCTTCTTCCAGTAAGCAGATTCTTCCATTTGAGGCAAGGAGGAATTCTTCTCTGAAATCTAGGGAAACTAAAATTGGATCCAGTAATATAAATCAAAATGGTAAAAGTTTAATTGTTCACTTTTAAGTTATTTAACTGTAAGTTGAGTGTTAACAAAGATTTCAGTTCCAGGGAACCACAGTTAAGTTTCATTCTGTTCTTGCCCGTACACACTTTCAAAAGGAATCATTTAGACAATAACAAAGAACAGAATGCCCCAGCTTACTTTGTCTTCCTAGCGAAAGACACTGGATGCAGAATTTGTAGAATTCCTAATTTTGTCTTGAACTAGTAGTGTTTGCTCTGCTCTGAAGAATCAAACGTAGAAGTACTGAATTTAGCTATTACATTTCTTTGTGTGTCTTGGTCACATTTTTTTATCTTTTTTACATTTTCTTCCCTCCCCATTCTCCCATATGTGTAATTAATTTTCAGGAAGTCAAAATTAACTGTAAACTATATACTTTCTGTACTTTAAAAACTTAGTTGACAAAGTGATCCTTTTGATAATTATTGCAAATTTACCATCAGCACATGCATTTACAGATGGAACAAAACACCCTTTTTTGCTCTTTCTTCTTTCACCTTTTTGATTTATAAGATGTTTTATAAGATGTATTATTTCACCTAATCTTTAGTTCACTTGACTCTAGTCCAGGTCACCTAATATGCCCCGTCTTCAGAACCCAGAGTTCACAGAATCTCATTTGTTACAGTGCCATTCAGCCTATTGTGCCTGTACACCGTTTCTAGCTAAATAATCATCCAGTGGTCTCCTGAATGCCTCAGTTGAACCTGCCTCCACTGCATTCCACAACTTCTTCAGAAAGTGCCTCAGACTCCCTGACTCTAACCCTAAGCCTGTATCCTTCTTTAATCTCTCCCCTTTACTAAACCCCTCTGACCTCATCTAATATCTACCTTTTAATTATTTGAACCTGTTCCATGATTCTGACCACTCACCTTCCCTTTCCAGCCTGCCATGCCAGCAGATTTTGTAAATGTTTCTGTCTCAGGCACTGTATCCTTATCTCTTAAACTATCACCTCATTCTTCAAAAATCCTGAATGCCTCTTCTGAAATATTTTCCATCTTTCCTTTTTTTCATTCTAATGGTATAATATTTACATGAGGTTTTAGTAAAGAAAAACGTTCTAAAGCAAATCTCTAATGGAATTAAGAATTTAGTGCATATTGGAATTGATTGGTAATAAAACAAAATTGCATTTCTGTTAAGACCATCATGTATTATCATATGGCAGGCGACATGCAACTTGCCATTCAACTTTTGACAGTTCTGTTGAATATTGTGCAAATCCTTTCAAATTTGGAAGTCTTGAAATTTTTAAAATTTTGTCCTTGTAGTGCGATATGATTGACACTTCAGCTTCCAAGCTCTAGGGAACGAGTCAGTACTGAAGATCCATAATGTTGAGCCTACATTGTTTATTCACCATTCGAAAACTGTAGAGTTTTTTTTCTATTTGTTTACAGGAAATAGGCTTCATTGGCCACACCAGTGTTTATTGCCCACTCTTAGTTGCGCATAGAGGTGGTGTTGAACTGCTTTCTGAACAACGGCAGTCAGCTTTGTATACAAATACCCATAGTGCTGTTAGAGAGGGAGTCTGAGATTTACCCAGCTACACATTGAAGGAATGGTGATAGATTTTTGGAACGGTGATAAATTTTCAGGATGGTGAGTGGCTTGGAGAGGAATTTACAAGTAGTAGTGTTCCTATGTATCTGCTACCTTTGTCCTGCTAGATGGCAGTGGTTTTGGGTTTGAAAGGTGCTGTCGTAGGAGCCTCGGTGAATTTCTACAATGCATCTTGTAGGTGGTGCCAATCAAGCAGGCTTCTTTGTCCTGGATGGTGTCAAATTTCCTGAGTGGTGTTGGAGCTGCACTCATCCAGGCAAGTGGGCAGTGTTCCATCACACTCGTGACTTGTGCCTTCCAGATTAGGCTTTGGGGAGTCAAGAGATGTGTTACTTATTATAGGATTCCTAGCCTGTCACTTGCTCTTGTAGCCACAGTGCTTGCATGGTGTAGTGATTGGAACCAGGTAGATCTCATTGACAGATCCTTGATTGGGGTTGTTAACCTTAGTCAATCAGGAAGCCCTGGCTGACCGATTCTAAACAGAGGATTCAGAATCTTTTCAGTTCAGGCAACTGACTTCTGAGCTGGTTTGGCCTTGTCAGTGGTACTGCTGGATTCTTTTCCACTTCTTGGGAACTGCTTTCTTTTTTAAACTGGCCAGTTATAGCCAGTGTATTGTTATTTTCAGAAACTGAAGCAAAGATGACTTGGTAGCAAGGCTTACTGCTTGCACCACAGTTTTAAGTACTTGCAGTTTACTTTTGAATGTGTTTTCACCTTTTTATGTCTGGACTGAGCTTCCATGTGACAGCTGTGCCTTTGCGAGTGGACACTGTTTCCATGAGCGGCATAGGCCTCTGTGAGTGGGCCATGTCCTCGAGTGTAGGCCTGGCCGTCGGGAGCCTGCTGTGTTTCTTCAAGCGGACCAGGCCTCCAGGATGGACTGAGTATTTGTATGTATGCTGTGAGGTGTGTGCTTGCTGCTTTCAGGCGTGGATTCAGGCTTTTATGTTTGGATCGTTTCTTACGTAATGTGATTTGCGTGTCTCTGGGTCTGGCAAGCCTTGCCGATAGTTGGAAGGTGAGTAGGTTGTTCCGAAAGCCAGATGGTGCATAGATCATCCCGAAAACTGTTGCTCCAAGAGTCAGACGGTGGATAGGTCACCCTGAAAACTGTCGTCCAGGGAGGCATAGTGACGAGCTGTCCGAGATGGTCGGGAGGTGAGTAGGGGTGGGCCAATTGCTGATTTGCCAGGAGTGTTGCATGTGTTGCTTTTTTTATTGTTTGTTTGTATCGATTTATCTGTTACGTACTTTCATCTTAAGGTTTTTTTCTGATGGCGAGTTATGGTGGGATTTGGGGTTCATTTTTCTGTCCCCACTCCCTGTAAATTGTTTGCTTTGTTGACTGTCACCTTGATTTTGTTTTGTATCTTTTGTACAGGTTAAACTGGGGAAAAAAATATATAAACAGGAGATTCAGAATCTCCAGAGTTCAGGGACTGACTCCAAGTTGGCTGGCCTCAGCCAGTGTACTGTGCACAAGTAACTAAGGAGTGATTTGGTGACGGAATATCGGCCTCTGTGCAGTTACTTCACATGGCTAGTCCGTTTTCTAGTCAATGGTAACCACTAAGATGGTGGTACTAAGGAATTCAGTGATGGTAGAGCTATATTTGCAATGATTGTCTACATCTACAGGAACTTCAGTTCAAAGTTGCTGAACTGGAATTAGCAGAACGTTAGGAAGGGAGAGTGTTATTGGGCAGTTTGATTCAGGCAGCAGCCATCTTCGTGGGTTCAGAAGTGATCAAGGACAGAAGGATATGACTGCAAGTAAGGGAGTCTAATGTGCCGTACTGGCAGTGCCTCTGCTTTTACCCATATCCAACAATTGTGAAATTCTTTCCTTTTTGCAGGTAAGAGCAAAGTCCGTAGAGTGAGTTAACAAACTAACTCTGGTGCTGTGGAAGCAATTCAAGGGGGATTGTTAAAAGGAATGTGCTAGTTCTAGGAGACCGTTTAGTCATGAGGGTAAATTCTGTTCTTTGTAATTGTGACCATGAATTGAAAAGATTTTGGTGCAAGCCCAGTATCTGGGTTAAGGACATGTCCTCCTAACTGTATTGAATTAAGAATATTTGTAGAAGACGGAAGATTCTGCCAAGGAGGTTTTGAAGAACAAAGGCCCAAATTATTTGGATATATCTCAAAGATTATTTGACTTATCAACTGTGCCATGCAAAAATTGTTGTGAAGTCAAACTGATCAGTAATTTTAAAATGTGGCACCAGCCACTTTGGGAGATAGGTTTCAATTCTTGAGGTACTCAAGTAGAGTATCTGACTTTAAACTTAAAAGGTTGCAGAGGGTAGATATAAAATTGAAGGGAAAGGTGAAAGAAAGGGAACAGTGGAGCAAATTGAGTAAAAATCAACAGTGTGTGAAAGGAAGAGACAGAGTTCCACCAGTGACAGTACTATGAATAAGGTTAAATGAAGGGAAGATAATTTTTAAAACAAAGGATGCTTTTTCTGAAAGTGCAAAAAATTTTAACAAGACAGACATTGATGGCATAAATGCAGATAAATGAGCTTCATCTATAATAAGAAATGGTCACCTGATTGATAAAGTTGGTACTGACATCTTGAAAGCAGACGAAATGGAAAAGGATGATATCAGGCCAGAAGGAGTTGCAAACCCAGAAAGTAAAATTAATGAGAGTTCAGAGTTAATTCGGAGCAGAAAGCATGAGGAATGGTAATATAGAGCCTGAAAACAATAACTACACTGTTGGACAGAGCTTATAAATGAAACCAACTTATACTAAAGGCAAAGCAGAAATCATGGGAGAATCAAATGTTATACACTGATCAAATCAAACAGCAGAAGTAACAGTTATCACGTTTATTTGAGATTGTTTCTGAAGAAATTTGACCTCGAGTTGATCTTAAGTAGTCAGTCCCTTTATCATGAGACCATGCCCCCTACTTCTAGATTCTTCAGGCAGGTGAAACAGCCACTCGACAATAACTTTGTCAAGTCCTTTTAGAATTTTGTATGTTTCAATGAGATCACTGCCATTTAGACGTTCATGGGACAACCCTTTCATCTCAGAAACCAATCCAGGGAACCTTGATTGCACCCTTAAAGGAAGTTTATACTACCTTTTTAGTAGGCAGATTTTGTCTCCATAACCTGTATTTCAGGTGTGGCCTCACCAAAGCCATGTACAACTATTACATTTCGCTCTTAATTCAAGTAGGTTGCAATTTGAAATTAAGACCAGTGTATTGTTTGTTGACCCTGCATGTTAATATTGTTTTGTGGATAAGTCCCTGAGGAAACCAATCAGCTTCCCCTGCTACATCACCCTAAGTCACAGGCTTCGCTCCCCTTCCTAAATGCTAGCTGTTTACAAGGCTGTCTGACTGCAGTATCCTCATGCTGGTGTTCCCTGATGCCTGCCAGCCAAGGCCTGCTGTTTAATGGATGCAGAGCTACCAGATGTTAACCAGATAGGCAGGACCTCAGCATCTAGTCAAGCTATGCTTGTCGTATCCATTGTTAACATTATCAACAATCTTTTTTTTGTGTGTGAATAAATACCAGGGGCACAGCTATGTCTTCTTTAACATTGAGATAATTAAGAAATCAATGATTCCTCTGTTTTGTGACTCTCAATTCTCCAAAATTAATACAATTCAAATAAATAGCAAACTGTATCATCGGGTGGCTAAATAAATGGCCAGACATCTATTGGCCCAGATAGTTTCATTATAAATGCTTAGTTGAACTCCCAAGTCTGACAATTGTATTCACCCCTGTGGAGAAGTATTGCTGTTTGCACTGTTGCAAAGGAGACTGTTAACTTTACCACCTGCGTAATAACTTGATCTTGCTTCGAAGTGGTTTATCAAAGCCTACGTGTTTTTGGATAGAATTACAGGTTCCTTCAAGAGAACTTCGTCTTTTTTTTTGAGGTTGTAAAAGTAAACTTTTCAAAGGGAATATTGAATGCATGGCTTTCTTTCTATTGTTACTTCACCAGCATCTCAAAGATTTCTTACAATGTTATGTAGCTCCTAAGTTCCATACCTAGTGGATACTGGGTGAGTGGACACGGGAGATGTGAGAAATCACGGTAGGCACATGGGATATATTAGGGGCACTGAGGGATAAATGGAAGATTTGAGTGCCTAATAACTTTGAATACACTCAACTAGTGCCCAGTAAATGGAGACATGCCTTTTTAACCTTTTGAGCCTCATCATGTTCCCGACTCAGGACTATTCCCCAAGTCAACAGGCCCATCTTCTACCCACGCTTGCGGCCCCAGCACAGATGAGTGAATACTCATGATAACCACAAAAATACAGCACTTCATGTTTAGTTTTCCCGCTGTAGCCTTCAAAGATGTAACCTATTTACAGGAGTTGATCTTTGGAGCCTGATACAAACAACATGAAACCGTTGGCATAGGATGTTAATTAACAGCATTTTTTAATCAAGCATTTATTCCTATTTTCCATGTTGTAAAAAGTGTAGGTGAAATTTGATTATTCAGAAGCAAAAAGCACTATAAAGATCTTTAGTATCTATAATTTGTACTAAGCCTAGTATGAGACAAAATACGTTATGAAAAGTTTGGAAGTAAGGTACTGGTAGAGATGAAAAGATTGCAGTAGAATAAATCATATTTCCACACAGTTTACCAGCACAAGGGCTATTAAAACTAAGCAGTGATGAGCAATGAATACAGATGGAAAATGAACATTAATAAACTGTCTTTTCAATATTCATTTTACTACAATCTTGTTTTTAATCCTGTATTGTATGATGAGACATCGATGTCCTATGTAATTGGTAAAATGTATAGTCGTGCAACCACATTTATTAATATTTGACTTTTTTAATGATCCCTTTTAATATCTATACTAAACAAATTTTCATTTATCCTATGCAAAGTCAAAAGTTTACAATTGGGTTCTTCACGAAAGGTAATTCTACGCACTTTGCTGGCCTCTTTTGCAAAATTAGATTTGTTCTGTTCATCTGACCTGATTTTGCATTCAATAACAATTTTGTTTGTTTATATTTTCAAGCTGTTGAGGTACATTGGCAGCAAAGCAAACAACTTGTGCCTTGAATGTGACATGTAAACAGTTTTAAGCCATTATTACGGAAATCTTAGTTTCTTGTAAAGTTTCTTGCCTTTAGGGACTTGTGCCATTGGTGTAAAATTCTATTACTTTTAGTAACTTTTGTGTCTGTATTTTTAAAGAGGTGTTTAATTTGCATTCCAATATTTTTCAACTGTCTGGTTAAGTACAGCGATAGGCTGACCTTGAGAGTAAATCACTGCGAGTTCAGTGGCTGTGACGCAAGAAGAGGAGGCAAAAATACTTCGGGATATTTTGACGAATTATTATATGGTAATGAACAATTCCTGAAAGTAAATACTGGACTTTCACGTTGCCCTAACAATTTTTTTGATTGGATGCTCATGATTTAGATGCACATTTAAACATTAGAAGTTTGGAAATGTAGGAAACCACTAAATCGCTGAAGAGCAAATTTGAAGATGGTAGTATGAGTGAAGTGAGATTTCAAGAGATTGACATCATAGAAAAAAATTTCCTGCACAAAGGAAGATTAAATAAGTTGTGGCACAGATTCCTATAACCTGCATAAAATACAGAAGTGTAGTTTGATGTACGGTGTGAAATGTAATTTGAAGATTTTTCAGTAATCATTTCATTTAAGGAATTTCTACTGTCGTCTTAAACAGCATTTATTCTACATAGAGGTTTGACCCTTGTATCTGTTAAGTGTCACAGCGGATCTTTGTTATGCTCACAGCAACATCTCTGAATTTGAAGGTAAAAGAATTCTGCCTGTCCACACATAAACAACAACTATCATTATTATACTGGAGGACATTTTAATGCACTATGGTGTTCAAAGCAGTTATGTCATTCAGCTTCTAGGAAAGCCCCTTTAACTTGTTTGTGCAGTTCCCTTGATGTCATCTTGTATAGAACACTTACTTAAAACCTCTAGCAATAGTGGAAATACAGATTTTTTTTAAACCAGCTTTTGAATCTAAGGTCTTCTTCTGCCCCCTACTGGCTATGTTGAACTTAATATATTGCTTCAAGCTGATAATCTAAATTCTACAGTATTATGCATTCATTCTTAGTCACAGAAGAAGCTGTATAATCCCATGGATGTTTTATTTATCTCTAAAGTTTGCCTACTTATACATAGAGACTTATTTCAAATGTTCTCCAACATGAGAGCCAATATCTTGTGAAGTCCTGCTTTTACTTAATCAACCTGTTCATAGATGTTATTACAAAACTCTGGAAAAGGTGGGACTTGAATCCAGGCCTCCCGATCCAGACGTAGGGACCCTACCTCTGTGTCGTAAGAGGGCCCCACATCCTACTTTAAATGGGAAACGGCCAAATGCTTACAGCTGTGTATTTTAGAGACCATTAATAAGAATGTCCAGTGGTTTTTCTTTTGTCCTATGGAGCAAGTCAACTGGTGTTCATATTCATAAAATTCTGCTAGCAACTGTACTGAGTACATCTGCATCTCTTACATTCTGGGCTTTGACAGTGCCGTGGCAGAAATTAGATCAAAGATTAGAGCACTTAGGGGTTTAGTTCAGCTGTTTATTGATGTATTACAGGAGTAGCAACAAAGTTTTCCTAAATTCTCTTCTAATCTCAAAATTTTTTCAAAATTCTCCATCTCTCTCTATCCTGACTTTTCTTTCTCTTTCAATCCCTGGCCCCTCTCTCTCTTGCGTGTGAGCCCAATGACCCCTGCTCGACCTCAGTCATTTTCCCCCGTGCTGTTGCAATTTTCCCCCTCTTACTCATACTTCGACTTGTCCATTTAAATAGAATAAAGAATAGAACTATAATGTAAAATGTTTTGTAATCCAAATATCAAGCCAATTTTTGTGGTTGATTTGCCTAGGTATTTACAGTAGATTGAATTGGTTTTAAAGTGGCATGCTTCCTTAGGCAGTCAGCATATAAGTTAACTGTGTCAGCATTAGTTACTGCCTGAAGTGGTTATAGATGAGCCCCAAGGTGAAAAGAGAACAGCTGTTTCAGTCACTCATGTGTAAATGTCGTTAGTATCAATATGTCATTGTTCCTACAGGAGCTATTTTGCTACAGCAACAAGGCTGCCTAGGAAAAAAATCCCTGGATTGTCCAAATGCAAAGGAAGATCCTTGTACCGTCACAGAAGTTCGAATGGAAGATGTTGCTGAAGGGCAATTTGGAAATTTGAACAAAGGCATCAATTCTACTGAAACTGAGCCTAGTGCTTATCTCTGGTCTATACTTCTAAAGAACTATATTGAAAATCATAACTTGCCCTTAATCTATCATGTTGTGAATGATTCAGCTTTGAGTACTGTTCAATTTGTAGGTAAGAATAGGCTTGAGAACCTGAAAAACTCCTTTCCTGAGCAGCTGATGGTACAGTATGCTGAAGATGTTAAAGCCTATAAGGAGCTTCCAAAGTATATCCAGCAAATGTTTGGCAATCTGAGGAGTGGATCCCTGGCACTTGGAATGAACACACAGCTGCTACTGCTGCACATAGAATCAATATTTACTAATTCTTAGTCACCTAAAATTGATAAAACTACATTTCCACTTGCAACCAAGTTAGATAATGTATTTGTGTTAAATAAAGAACAAATGCTACTCAGAATGACTGGCTACAAACTGAAGTTCTAGTGGCAGTGCTTAACCATAGGAGAGAACTTGAGTTGAAATTACTGATGCATTTTACAGTAAGTGCAGTGAGAATTGCTTTCAGGAAAATCTGAGATTTGCAGTAATGCAATCAATTGTCTATGGCACGAAAGTATGAAATATATTTATACATCTATGTTTGTAATTTTTTTTAAAACAATACCACTGCCTTGTGTAACTCTTTCTTTATATTTAATTATGTAAACATTTTTTCCATAAATATGTTGGTAGTTTATATTTTCATGTGAGGATTAAAGTTTAACAATTATTTTACTCAATCTTTTGCACAATTGTAACTTACTGTACATCTTGAATAAATTGTGATTTGTTTTTTTTTTGTTTGCATCTATGTGGATCTCTTAGCTTTACAGATACTTAAACAAGAAACCATTTTTGCAAGACAGATTTGGCAAGGGCAGGGGGCAGGGCCATGGGCATGGGCATTGTCATATAGTAGTGGGAAAGAGTAATAAAGTTCTAACGCTAGGTAGTGTTAGAGAAAAATATAAATTTGGATTAGGAATGGGAGAAAAAGCAGTTAGGGGTTCAGAATATGGGACAGAAATAATTAAGTTTGTTAGATTTACAGTGCATATATGTGGATACGTAATGTGTGTAGATGGAATTGGTGAGGCACGGGCACATATGGCTACATCATCAAACTTTATCACAGCAAAAACAGATTCATGGTTTAAAGAAAGGCAAGTCTGGAAAACCATTCTAGAAATAGTTTTGCTGTGCTGAAGAGTGAGGACATTCCAGATGCTCAAGGATAACTACATGACAGAACAGAAGTTCAATTGCATTGTTCTGCCTATATTATAGGCCACTAACTAAAAGGAAATGGGTAGAGGAACTTAACTTTTTTTTTAAGTGGAAAAGTTAGAGTATTGCTGGAAAAAAAAGACATGCTCACTGAAAAGTGCTTTTCTTCTCAACGCGCGTGAATATCTCCTTTCAAAGGAAGCAACACTTCATACTGCACAAGAAAAGGGTGGTTGGCAGGTCAACTCTGGTGTAGGTGTTGTTAGGGAGAACACACTAGCAAACTATTGTCCGTTAAACCTTTTGCTTAATTCAAACAAGGTGCATGCATAGATGTGTTACTTTCCCCTGCAGAATATATATCCCCACATATGGATAATGTAGCATCTACCAGTTGTAAGTCAGCCACATTCTGAGCCTAAGTGATGACATTCTATTGGTACTGCAAACTTAGCATACTTGGGATTTTTCAGTGAGTGTTGTCCAATTGCATCTTGCATCAGACATTAGATGAACAAGGAACAGGAGTAAGTCATTCAGTCCTTTTTTTATCTGCTCTGCCATTCAGTGAGATCATGGCTTATCTGATTGTAAGCTTCATATCTGCATCCCTGCATACTCCACAAACATTTTATCAACAGGAATTTATCTGGCTTTAAAAATATTCAGGGATAATGCTTGTACTACCTTTTCCAAAGACACTCAATCCTCTAACAGAAAATAAATTGCCTGGTTGCTTCTGTAAATGGATGACCCTTATTTTTAGCTTATCCCATAAGTGGAAACAACTTCTTTATATCTATTAAGACCTCTCAGGATCTTATGTTTCAATCAAGTCACTTCTTAACTTTTAATCACTAGCAGACAGAAGCATAGCATATCCAGGCTTTCCTCCAACAGCCCATTTTACTTTCCTATCTACCTTTGTGTTAAACCAAATGTGTCAACTATTTTTTTTTTATATAAATTGGAAGTAGTTAAGTACCCAGCACCAAATCTTATGGCACACTACTCATTACAGCTTGCTAACCTGAAAAAGATACATTTATATCAACTCCCTGATTCTTGTTAGCCAGCCAATCTTCTATCCAGGCCCATCTGATACATTGAGTTTTTATTTTCTTCAGTAACATTTGATTATATTTCATCAAATGCTTTTCTGAAATTCTAAATATATTTATCAGTTCCCTATTATCTACACCACCTTACTTCCTCAAAAATGATCAATAGGTTGTTTAAATATAATTTCCTTTGCTCAAAACTATGTTGACTCAGACTGCCTGAAAACCTCGGACTTACCCAGGTGCCCTAGTAATTTCCTGAATGATAGTTTCGAACACTTTCCTGATGACATTAAGCTAACTGGATTGTGGTTTCAGAGATAGTAGGAACTGCCGATGCTGGAGAATCTGAGATAACAAGGTGTAGAGCTGGATGAACACAGCAGGCCAAGCAGCATCAGAGGAGCAGGAAAGCTGACGTTTTGGGTCTGGACCCTTCTTCAGAAATGGGGGAGGGGAAGGGGATTCTGAAATAAATAGAGAGAGAGGGGGAGGCAGATGGATAAAGGAGCAAATCGGTGGAGAGGAGACGGACAGGTCAAGGAGGCAGGGATGGAGCCAGTAAAGGTGAGTGTAGGTGGAGAATTAGGGTGGGGGTTGGTCAATCCAGGGAAGACGGACAGGTCAAGGAGGCAGGGATGAGGCGGGTAGGTAGGAGGTGGGGGTGGGGTTTGAGATGGGAGGAGTGGATTGGTGGGAGAAAGGATGGACAGGTTAGGGAGGCAGGGATGAGCTGGGCTGGTTTTGGGATGTGGTTGGGGGTGGGGAGATTTTGAAGCTTGTGAAGTCCGCATTGATAACCTTGGGCTGCAGGGTTCCCAAGTGAAATATGAGCTGCTGTTCCTGTGACCTTCAGGTGGCATCGTTGTGGCACTGGAGGAGGCCCAGGATGGACGTGTCATCCAAGGAGTGGGAGGGGGAGTTGAAGTCGTTTGTCGCGAACTGAACGTAGGTGTTCCACAAAGCGGTCTCCAAGCCTCCGCTTGGTTTTCCTGATATAGAGGAGGCCACATCGGGAACAGCGGGTACAATATAACACATTAGCAGATGTGCAGGGGAGCATCTGTTTGATGTGGAAGGTTTTCTTGGAGCCTGGGATGAGGGTGAGGGGGGAGGTGTAGGGGCAGGTGTAGCACTTCCTGCGGTTGCAGGGAAAAGTGCCGGGGGTGGTGGGGCTGGTGGGGAGTGTGAAGCAGACAAGGGAGTCACGGAGAGAGTGGTCCCTCCGGAAGGCAGATAAGGGTGGGGAGGGAAAAATGTCTTTGGTAGTGGGGTCAGAATGCAGGTGGCAGAAGTGCCGGAGGATGATGCGTTGGATCTGGAGGTTGGTAGCGTGGTACGTGAGGACGAGGGGGATTTTGTTTTGATTGTTATTGCAGGGAGGAGGTGTGAGGGATGAGTTGTGGGAAATGCGAGAGACGCAGTCGAGGGCGTTTTTGACCACTGTGAAGGGGAACTTGCGGTCCTTGAAAAACGAGGACATCTGGAATGTCCGGGAGTGGAATACCTCATCTCAGGAGCAGATGCAGTGGAGGCAAAGGAATTGGGAATAGGGAACGACATTTTTGCAGGAAGGTGGGTGAGAGGAGGTGTATTTCTAGGTAGCTGTGGGAGTCGGTAGGCTTGAAATGGATATCGGTTTCAAGGTGGTTGCCAGAGATGGAAATAGAGAGGTCCAGGAAGGAGAGAGAGGTATCAGGGCTGGTCCAGGTGAACTTAAGGTTGGGGTGGAAGGTGTTAGTGAAGTGGATGAACTGTAATTTATTGATTTCTGTCTCCACCTTTTAAATAAAGTTACATTTGCTGTTTTCCTTACTTTGCAGAAGGCCCCATTAGATTGGGACTTTTAGAAAATTTAAATCAATGCGTCAGCTATCCCACATTTATAAGACCCTGGGATGAAGTCCATCAAGACTTGGTGACTTGTCAGCCTACAGCTATACCTTTATTGCATTCCTCTCCCTTTATTTCTTGATTTATTGTTGTTTCTGTGAGGTTGCCTGTATTCTTTATAGTGAAAATTGGTACAAAATACCTGTTCAATTTGTCTGCCATTTGTTTATTTTTTATCATTAATTCTCCAGTCTCACTTTCTAGACGACTTGCTTTGTTAACTTTCTTTAAAATATTTTTAGAAGATCTTACTATCTGTTTATATACTTCTGCCTAGCTTTCTAAGAATTCTGATTGTCCCAATTCTATGCATATTCGTTGCAGTATGCTTGATCATGGTTTTGAGAATCAGATGGTATTTCTCCAAAGCTCCCTGACTTTGCACACAATATGCAGTTGGTTTCAATTGTTTTATACCCAGACTATTAATGATTTCCTCAACCTCATCAGAACACGGCTTCTCAGTCTTCCTTCTCTGGATACTATCATTAGTTTACAGGAATCACAGGGTGGCTTGTTCACACTTGATGAGACACTTTTAAAATTAAGCTACAGCTTACAACATCTGCTGAAGGAGCAATAAATTAGTTTTGGTCAAGCTTGAAGTGGCTTTTACTGCAGAGTATGGAGAGAGCTCCTAAGCTGGTGATGGTCTCACAGCTCCTCCCTATCTTATTCACAGTCCTAAACTAACTGAAGACCAATCACAGATGTTGGCAGCAGAAGATTTTGTCATTGATAATTGGCCACTAGTCAACAAACCAATAAGTTAATTTTAAAAAATGAACTGCAGATGGTGGAAATTGGAAACAAAAACAGAAATTGCTGTTAAAAACTCAGCAGATCTGGCAGCATCTGTGGAGAGAAATAAAAGTTAAAGTTTTGGGTCCAGTGACCCTTCTTCAGAACATTTCTAAATTTGCAATTTAGCCTTAATGCGAAATCTGGGTCATTTGACTTTCATGTTAACACTTGCAACATGGCTTTCTATGTTTGGAATTGGAACTAAAGAAGAAAAGACTGTCTTATATAATGTTTTCTATATTCCCATAACATCATAAAATGCATTACAGCCAATTAATTGCATTTGAAATATAGTAATTTGATTTTTTTTAGGCAAATACATCATCTATTTTCTATTCAGTCAGATTCCACAATACTAGACAGATAAACAGTTGAATATTTTCTTTCAGCCATAATGCCAGGAGAACACATTACATTTGAAATTCTGTTGTAGAATTTCTTGTATCAACCTGAGTAGTGAGATGTGGCTTAAAGTAACATTTTATCCAAAAGGCAGCACCTGTGACCTTAGCAGTGCCCTCACCCCTCTGTGTTACACAGAAGTGTCAGGTAAGATACTCAATAACTGGATTGAAGCTTTAACCTATAAACATCTGACACAGGATCAGACACTGGCACTTTGAAATTGCTGGCATAATGAGTGTTTTCAAGCAATTTTGAAAGGGAAATAAACAAATAGTGAGACCATAAACTTAACTAAACTGTAAGATTAACAAGCTT